GTCTAAGTAGTTTCCATGGGTTAGCCGAGTCATGGGTTGTCTGTTGGGAGTGTCTAAGTAGTTTCCATGGGTTAGCCGAGTCTGTTGGGAGTGTCTAAGTAGTTTCCATGGGTTAGCCGAGTCTGTTGGGAGTGTCTAAGTAGTTTCCATGGGTTAGCCGAGTCTGTTGGGAGTGTCTAAGTAGTTTCCATGGGTTAGCCGAGTCTGTTGGGAGTGTCTAAGTAGTTTCCATGGGTTAGCCGAGTCTGTTGGGAGTGTCTATGCAGTTTCCATGGGTTAGCCGAGTCTGTTGGGAGTGTCTAAGTAGTTTCCATGGGTTAGCCGAGTCTGTTGGGAGTGTCTAAGTAGTTTCCATGGGTTAGCCGAGTCTGTTGGGAGTGTCTAAGTAGTTTCCATGGGTTAGCCGAGTCTGTTGGGAGTGTCTAAGTAGTTTCCATGGGTTAGCCGAGTCTGTTGGGAGTGTCTAAGTAGTTTCCATGGGTTAGCCGAGTCGGTTGGGAGTGTCTAAGTAGTTTCCATGGGTTAGCCGAGTCTGTTGGGAGTGTCTGTCTGTTGTTTCCATGGGTTAGCCGAGTCTGTTGGGAGTGTCTAAGTAGTTTCCATGGGTTAGCCGAGTCTGTTGGGAGTGTCTAAGTAGTTTCCATGGGTTAGCCGAGTCTGTTGGGAGTGTCTAAGTAGTTTCCATGGGTTAGACGAGTCTGTTGGGAGTGTCTAAGTAGTTTCCATGGGTTAGCCGAGTCTGTTGGGAGTGTCTAAGTAGTTTCCATGGGTTAGCCGTTGGGAGTGTCTAAGTAGTTTCCATGGGTTAGTCTGTTGGGAGTGTCTAAGTAGTTTCCATGGGTTAGCCGAGTCTGTTGGGAGTGTCTAAGTAGTTTCCATGGGTTAGCCGAGTCTGTTGGGAGTGTCTAAGTAGTTTCCATGGGTTAGCCGAGTCTGTTGGGAGTGTCTAAGTAGTTTCCATGGGTTAGCCGAGTCTGTTGGGAGTGTCTAAGTAGTTTCCATGGGTTAGCCGAGTCTGTTGGGAGTGTCTAAGTAGTTTCCATGGGTTAGCCGAGTCTGTTGGGAGTGTCTAAGTAGTTTCCATGGGTTAGCCGAGTCTGTTGGGAGTGTCTAAGTAGTTTCCATGGGTTAGCCGAGTCTGTTGGGAGTGTCTAAGTAGTTTCCATGGGTTAGCCGAGTCTGTTGGGAGTGTCTAAGTAGTTTCCATGGGTTAGCCGAGTCTGCTGGGAGTGTCTAAGTAGTTTCCATGGGTTAGCCGAGTTAACCTTCCATTTTCATTTCAGGGCCTATCACCAGGTTCATCTGCTATTTTGTGTAAGGTACGGAAAAAAAGCTTCAATATGGTCCATGAAATACTGACAGTAAAATTAATTCAATAGAATTCTCTTCACATGAAATATTGGTCTTGATTGTTGTGAGAAGGGGGTTTATGTTTTCATATCTTATTTATCAATCTTCATTTATTTCTATTTTATTTCACACATTTCAATCTACAAACTTCAAACAATGGCACATTATGTGTTTACTGTCAATAGAGCAGCCAAGGTCATTTTGAGGTAGGGTGTCCTTGTAGATGAACATCATATTGGAGGCCTGTTACCTGCCATCCAGAGAAATTAAGATAAATTAACTTTACAAAGGACACAACATGCAAGTACTTGTGCAGATCAGGGAAAGAATTAAGTCAATAATAATAAAAAAAAACATTGTCAAACAATTTTATTTACAGAAATATACAAAACCACATTCATTAATATATAACATTGTAACAATCTGCACGTAAAATAATACTTGGATATGACCAGAGTATTTTATCATCCATAAAATCATTACATGTACAGGGATAAAAGCATTAAAACCAGCTTTGCCAATGACATTGATTTGAATGGTACACAGTGAGCACACATTTATGTCACGGGGCGTTTTATATATATATAAGAAAACATGGGAAAACATGGTCTTCTATGTACAAGCAAGAAAATAAATCAGTTATTGAAATATTTCACAAATTAGCAAGAAATTAATCACAGTTTACAAGTTATGATTAGCCCAGTCTCCCAAAATTCATGGACAATTAAATTAGAATACCTTTCCATTTTGTTCTCTGATATCCTTAATGAAAGGCCTGTGAAATACCCGTAACTGATCTTACCATCAGCCCCTGCCACACAAACACCAAAAATCAATGACAGTGGCTAAAGGTTTGTTTGAATTATAGCCAAGCATTGAATATATAATGTCATTTTAAGCAAAAAATACATGTAGTAGCACCTTGTACGATTAAATTATTTTCATTTCACGTGCAGTCTTAAGATACCATAATTTTGATTTCATTTCATAAAACATTATACATTTTGTATATCATTGTTTACACTATAAAATTGTGTCTTTTTGGTGGGTGACTTAATTAGTAAAAGAAAATTGATGGACATGCAGAAATAGGGAACAGAAAAAAATGAAAATCATGGCTAAAGACAAAAGGAAACAGAAAATAAAAAATAATGCTGAGCAAAATCCGAACCAGCAAAATAAAAAATAATGCTGAACACAGATTTATGGTAAAATATAAAGTTGAGAAATGCAGGTCATTCCAATATCAACAATCAAAAAGTATAAATCTACAAAGTGAAATAATTGACAAATGGAATGTTTGGAGTGAGGAGTAATCCAGCAAATTATTTAATCCTTTTCATTGACAGTTCCATTGATCCTCTGTATGAAAACAGTTTACGACCATATGTAAATGATGTTAATATACCCAGCAGAATCAGTAATATACCCGGGCAAGTCCAACTTTTTAAAAGTAGAAGGACAAACCAACTGGAAAAGTTATATTACTAATGATGAAATTTTCAAAACTGGCAAATATTTATTGCAATATCAGTCGTAATAATGTACAATATATAGCTAGAGTTAGAGCAACACATGTTATAATGTCATATGACATATAACTATCATATATTGCAACACATGTCATCCTGTTGTATGACGTAATTGTCAAATATTACAACACATGTTATAATGTCATATGACATATAACTATAATATATTGCAACACATGTCATACATGTTATAATGTTGACATATAACTATAATATATTGCAACATGTCATATTGTCAAATATTACAACACATGTTATAATGTCATATGACATGTAACTATCATATATTGCAACACATGTCATCCTGTTGTATGACGTAATTGTCAAATATTACAACACATGTTATAATGTCTTATGACATATAACTATCATATATTGCAACACATGTCATACTGTTGTATGATGTAATTGTCAAATATTACAACACATGTTATAATGTCATATGACATATAACTATAATATATTGCAACACATGTCATACTGTTGTATGACATAACAATCAAATATTACAACACATGTTATAATGTCATATGACATATAACTATCATATATTGCAACACATGTCATACTGTTGTATGACGTAATTGTCAAATATTACAACACATGTTATAATGTCATATGACATATAGCTATAATATATTGCAACACATGTCATACTGTTGTATGACATAACAATCAAATATTACAACACGTTATAATGTCATATGACATATAGCTATAATATGTTGCAACACCTGTCATAATATTGTATGACATATACCTAGAGGTACCAGGCTTGAAACATGTACTAAGTTGCAACATCATAAGTATAATTACTCCAACAGCATAAAACAGTGACCCATTTATTATCAGAGGCTTTTGTGCTAATTGGGACAAGGTGCCTGTCGTAGGTTATCTCACCATGTAAATCTCTAACATAGATAAAGTAAATTATGAAATGTGCTTGTGAGAACCTCAGAGGCTATCAAAGTACAAAACTACAGCCAAGATCACAGCCTAAAAAACATGCCAAGGTCAAAGGTCATCCTTATTAGAACATCATCAATTAAATCGGCAATATCGCTCAAGCATCTTCATTTCTTTTGATCAATCAATATTGATAGAATGCACCAAATGAGTGTCTGACACAATCGCCTTTCGCCTAGCTATCTGGGGTTTGATTCCCCATTGGATGTAAAAAGGTGTTGAGTCACCTGCCAGACCACGAGGGTTTTCCCCAAGTATTCCAGTTTCCTCCCCAGTAAGATCCCTTAAGCAATTTTCCCAGGTCAACAAGAGTGATTAATATCAGTTGGTACAGATGGTTCACAGTTACTGTAAAATAAAGTCTTGGTAATTGTTTCTATTTATAGAAATTTACCCAACAATGATACTCCTTTACATTGGAAAAGGGTATTAATGACTAATGGATATTTTCTACATATACATTTAATACATATCTGTAAACATGCTTAAATCTAAAAAGTTACCAATAAAAATATCAGGTGTAAAAAGCTGGATAAATATTAATACCTACATCATCACAATGGCACATTACCAAAATATCCAACCGAGATAAAATCAATACAACAATTCTGCTTCGATTCACTGATAGCCAAACACATAATTATTTAATGGATAAATCATTACCTTGTTACATCTATTATATCATCATTAACAAACTGCCCTTCAGAAAGTGACAGGTTAAATGATCATTAAATATGTGTACATAACAATGGATATCTGTCATTTCTGTAAATGTTGACCACACTGATGTTTAGATATGCCGCATTTCAAATACTGCCAAATCTGTACATTTATTCTGTACACAAATTACTGCCAAATCTGTACATTTATTCTGTACACAAATTACTGCCAAATCTGTACATTTATAATGACTAATGTATTTTCACATAATTAATACAAATCTGTAAACATTTAATCTAAAAAGTACACAAATTACTGCCAAATCTGTACATTTATTCATCATCACACAAATTACTGCCGAGATAAAATCTGTACATTTATTCTGTAGCCAAACACAAATTATGATAAATCATCTGTTACATTTATATCATCATTAACAAATGCCCTTCCAAATCTAAATGATCATTTATATCTGTACACAAATTACTGCCAAATCTGTACATTCATTCTGTACACAAATTACTGCCAAATCTGTACATCTATTCTGTACACATTTAACAAATGTGAAACATCCTTTCCTGGACTAAATTCTATCTAAATGAGAGTTACAGTTAAAACTTCTTTAACATACATAAGAATATTTGTTGTAACTTTTGAAATGAAGGTACTGCTTTCTTACCCTGTAGATTTAATATGGTGAAGTATTGACAATCTTTCACATATGTAATTTTTATCTTAAATTATATGTCATGTTTTCTTTAACAGAAAGGTGAATGCACCAATTGTATCAAACTTCAAACCATGTTACTTTTGACCCTGATCTTTCATACGATGATCTGGCCAATATCGTTCACATGGAGATATGACAACAGTGCTACAACATGTTACCATCTATGTTTAAGCTGATGCCAGTAAACTCGTCAACTTTTGTATCATTGGCAGTCTGACCCATATTTATCACAGTTGTTCAATACCACGTACACCGTACTATTGAAAAGTATTCTGAAAGAAAAACCACACTTTTTTTACATAAAACAAACTCAATTTATCCAACATCAGGGACAAAACCTGACAATGTTTGTAAACGTTCTAATAAAACTACTGGCTACAGCTGATAAATATCTACATTTTAGTAGGTAGGATGACTGAATCAAATATACATTTTCATTACACTACACGTGCTTAAAAATCACAGCCTACTGACATCATACTTTTCTAAAAAAAACTTTTGTTATTTTCGTGTTTCTCATGGTGTTAAGCTATAGAACACTTACCTCCAACAGGAGTGTGATCCAAGTGCTATCTGATTTCTACAGCTTTGGACAGAATGGTCTGTAGGTCAATCTTTGTCTTCTGATAATTCTGGAATATATAACATCAGGTATTATACATGTTTACATAATACATACTTGTATTTGTTTGAATATAAATCGATATGAAACAAACAAAAGAATTACATACACTAATAGAGTGGAACTTCTCCAAACTGACCTAGCATGGAACATGAATATTTATAGGGAGGTCCTTGGCAGAAGTGGACAAGATTGACTGGTCCGAATCTGATTCTGTTCAATACATTACATTCATCATTAATCAATTTATCCATGCCTTACATTCACTTTGAATACCTTACACCACACTTGTACTAGTTACTGGTTGCAGAAAATGAACAGAGTAAAAATGTTTCTTTATAGTTTAAAAAAGAAATACAGGTTATATATGTGATTTCACTTGAGAATTAAGATCACTGCTGTCATGTTGGCACTGACTAGCTCTAAATGCAACCAGTCAACTTAGCCAATGGTCTGTCTATATATACTAAAAGTGGTTAGAATCAATGTATTTAAGGGACTGATGTTTCAGTGATCAGTTTATCAAAATTATCCTGTAAAACAGCACCTCATTAGTATTTTCATTTTACACAACTTTTAATAACATATTTCATAACTCATGCAAATTAGATGTGAAATTGTGACTTTCTACCTCTGCATAAGTAACAATGTCTGTAGCCTCTAATCACTTCAATGAAGCAATGATGTTGTTGGGTATGTATTCAGTTTATCAGATGATATTATCATATCAATTTGATTTCTCCAAAATCCATCCCCGAACCTTTTGTGTGTGAGACACAAAGCGTACAACTATTGTTACAGGTGTTGATTACAAAGTCAGCTGATTGGAACTTTGGTCCTATATTTGCTCAGGTAAGGCTGGTTTTCCAAAGTAATATTCATTAAACTCTTATCATTTTGGACACATAAAATCACATTGGTATGTGGAATTCAGAGGGATCAGAAGTATTTAAACACTACAATAAAGAGGAAACCATTCAGTGTGTCAGCATTTTGTTAAGTTTTAAGAGTGATCAGTTGTGAGAAAAGTCAGTTAGGGAGAAGTTGCACTTTACTAGGTATGTAAAATGTTTAAACGTCTGTAATTCTTATAAAATAGACCAAGACTGACAAATGAACCACAATGTAATAGTGATTTGTAAAGACTTGATAAGGATGGAGCGAAAATGAAGGAGACTGACACCAATAAATATGTTTTACTTACCTGAACCAATTTCATACTGTGAGGAAAGTCTCCAGAGATCAGTTCATCACGTACAAGACTGGAAAAAAAAGTGCACTTTATAATGCAACTTTATTGCAGACAGAAATTCTACTATATGTAATGTATTATGTATGTTTATATATATATATAAAAAAAACCGCATCACTTACATGAGCATTGCGCAGCACATACATATGAGGAAATCAAACCGCTCTTCATCTGCAAATAGCGAGTCCCATATTCGTAGTACGTCTGAAAATAAAGACATTTCTTGGCTGGATCACTTGTACATATCTTGTGTACAATGGTTATAAATGATATTATTATATAGTGATATTTTCTTTACATGTACACAAAGAGATGGTTTTGGATTACATGTATATCTGTGTTACCCTGGCTGTATCACATGGGAGAGAACTGTATTGCCTGTGAGAAGACTGTATTGCCTGTGATAGGACTGTATACCTTTGGGAGGACCATGTAACCAGTGAGAGGACTGTATTACCTTGGAGAGGACCATGTAACCTGTGAGAGGACTGTATTACTTGGGGAGGACCATGTAACCTGTGAGAGGACTGTATTACTTGGGGAGGACCATGTAACCTGTGAGAGGACTGTATTACCTTGGGGAGGACCATGTAACCTGTGAGAGGACTGTATTACCTTGGGGAGGACCATGTAACCTGTGAGAGGACTGTATTACCTTGGGGAGGACAATGGGAGGACAATGCAACCTGTGAGAGGACTGTATTACATTGGGGAGGGCCATGTAACCTGTGAGAGGACTTTATTACCTAGGGGAGGACCATGTAACCTGTGAAAGGACTGTATTACCTTGGGGAGGACAATGTAACCTGTGAGAAGACTGTATTACCTTGGAGAGGACCATGTAACCAGTGAAAGGACTGTATTACCTTGGGGAGGACCATGTAACCTGTGAGGGGACTGTTTCCCCCGCAGGAAAACTGCATCAGACAAGGCTGTTTAATATGTTCCTGCGTAATGACCATTTCACTGGGGGAAGCCTGCATCATCCAAGAGAGGTGTGTGGAACATGAGAGTCTGTTACTTGGGAGAAGCCTGCATTACTTGGGACATGAGAGTCTGTTACTTGGGACAGGACTGCATTACATGGGACATGACAGTCTGTTACTTGGGACAGGACTGTATTACATTGAACATGGGAGTCTGTTACTTGGGACAAGCCTACATTACATTGAACATGGGAGTCTGTTACTTGAGACAGGACTGTATTACATGAGAGTCTGTTACTTGGGACAGGACTGCATTACATTGAACATGGGAGTCTGTTACTTGGGACAGGACTGTATTACATGGGAGTCTGTTACTTGGGACAGGACTGTATTACATGGGAGTCTGTTACTTGGGACAGGACTGCATCACATTGAACATGGGAGTCTGTTACTTGGGACAGGACTGTATTACATGGGAGTCTGTTACTTGGGACTGGACTGCATTACATTGAACATGGGAGTCTGTTACTTCGGACAGGACTGTATTACATGGGAGTCTGTTACTTGGGACAGGACTGTATTACATGGGAGTCTGTTACTTGGGACAGGACTGTATTACATGGGAGTCTGTTACTTGGGACAGGACTGTATTACATGGGAGTCTGTTACTTGGGACAGGACTGTATTACATGGGAGTCTGTTACTTGGGACAGGCCTGTATTACATGGGAGTCTGTTACTTGGGACAGGACTGTATTACATGGGAGTCTGTTACTTGGGACAGGACTGTATTACATGGGAGTCTGTTACTTGGTACAGGACTGTATTACATGGGAGTCTGTTACTTGGGACAGGACTGTATTACATGGGAGTCTGTTACTTGGGACAGGACTGTATTACATGGGAGTCTGTTACTTGGGACAGGACTGTATTACATGGGAGTCTGTTACTTGGGACAGGCCTGTATTACATGGGAGTCTGTTACTTGGGACAGGACTGTATTACATGGGAGTCTGTTACTTGGGACAGGACTGTATTACATGGGAGTCTGTTACTTGGGACAGGACTGTATTACATGGGAGTCTGTTACTTGGTACAGGACTGCATTACATTGAACATGGGAGTCTGTTACTTGGGACAGGACTGTATTACATGGGAGTCTGTTACTTGGGACAGGACTGTATTACATGGGAGTCTGTTACTTGGGACAGGACTGTATTACCTGGGAGTCTGTTACTTGGGACAGGACTGTATTACATGGGAGTCTGTTACTTGGTACAGGACTGCATTACATTGAACATGGGAGTCTGTTACTTGGAACAAGCCTGCATTACATTGAACATGGGAGTCTGTTACTTGGGACAGGACTGTATTACATGGGAGTCTGTTACTTGGGACAGGACTGTATTACATGGGAGTCTGTTACTTGGGACAGGACTGCATCACATTGAACATGGGAGTCTGTTACTTGGGAAAGGACTGCATTACATTGAACATGGGAGTCTGTTACTTGGGACAGGACTGTATTACCTGGGAGTCTGTTACTTGGGACAGGACTGTATTACATGGGAGTCTGTTACTTGGTACAGGACTGCATTACATTGAACATGGGAGTCTGTTACTTAGAACAAGCCTGCATTACATTGAACATGGGAGTCTGTTACTTGGGACAGGACTGTATTACATGGGAGTCTGTTACTTGGGACAGGACTGTATTACATGGGAGTCTGTTACTTGGGACAGGACTGCATTCACATTGAACATGGGAGTCTGTTACTTGGGAAAGGACTGCATTACGTATTACCTGGGAGTCTGTTACTTGGGACAGGACTGTATTACCTGGGAGTCTGTTACTTGGGACAGGACTGTATTACCTGGGAGTCTGTTACTTGGGACAGGACTGTATTACCTGGGAGTCTGTTACTTGGGACAGGACTGTATTACATTGAACATGGGAGTCTGTTACTTGGGACAGGACTGTATTACATGGGAGTCTGTTACTTGGGACAGGACTGTATTACATGAGAGTCTGTTACTTGGGACAGGACTGCATTACATTGAACATGGGAGTCTGTTACTTGGGACAGGACTGTATTACATGGGAGTCTGTTACTTGGGACAGGACTGCATTACATTGAACATGGGAGTCTGTTACTTGGGACAGGACTGTATTACATGGGAGTCTGTTACTTGGGACAGGACTGTATTACATGGGAGTCTGTTACTTGGGACAGGACTGCATCACATTGAACATGGGAGTCTGTTACTTGGGAAAGGACTGCATTACATTGAACATGGGAGTCTGTTACTTGGGACAGGACTGTATTACATGGGAGTCTGTTACTTGGGACAGGACTGTATTACATGGGAGTCTGTTACTTGGGACAGGACTGCATCACATTGAACATGGGAGTCTGTTACTTGGGACAGGACTGTATTACATGGGAGTCTGTTACTTGGGACAGGACTGTATTACATGGGAGTCTGTTACTTGGGAAAGGACTGCATTACATTGAACATGGGAGTCTGTTACTTGGGACAGGACTGTATTACATGGGAGTCTGTTACTTGGGACAGGACTGTATTACATGGGAGTCTGTTACTTGGGACAGGACTGCATCACATTGAACATGGGAGTCTGTTACTTGGGACAGGACTGTATTACATGGGAGTCTGTTACTTGGGACAGGACTGTATTACATGGGAGTCTGTTACTTGGGACAGGACTGTATTACATGGGAGTCTGTTACTTGGGACAGGACTGTATTACATGGGAGTCTGTTACTTGGGACAGGACTGTATTACATGGGAGTCTGTTACTTGGGACAGGACTGTATTACATGGGAGTCTGTTACTTGGGACAGGACTGTATTACATGGGAGTCTGTTACTTGGGACAGGACTGTATTACCTGGGAGTCTGTTACTTGGGATAAGGTTGTATTACCTGGAAGGGGAAACTCCTGTGACAGTAAAAGTGTGATCCACCGGAAGGCATAATACTGAGGTTTGAGGTCAAGTTCCTGTAATCGTTGGGACACACGTTCATCACTAGACTTCATTTTGTCTACAAGCTTGGACATCATACTACCTGTAAGCATATTATATATATTTATATATCTAAAGGTAATATTACACAACATCCAAAAAGCAAGGCACACAACATTTTCTCTTTAGTATTTAACTCCTGTTTTGTTTCACAATCCTCAAATAAATCTACCAGCAACAAAAATGTTAATCAAACAGCTGAAATTACTGAAAGGCTAAACATGTTGATAAGTTACATATTTGTAACTTTTAATGTTAGATATAATCCATCACATACAAAACAATATAACACTTTTATAGAAGATGACTATCAAATGCCAAATTGAAATTAAGAATACATTTTCTATCAAATCAGTGTGCAAAATGTACAATTCATGGGAAAAAATTAAAGTTCAAAATCAAGAGATTGCCACTGGCATTGGTATCAGATATTAAACCCAGAACAACTCTTAAAAACATATTACAAATTCTCTATTTTCCAACTGTAAAAACCTGTGCGTAACATGTACAATCTTTCTTGAAAAATTAAAGGTCCAAAGTTGGAACATAAGGATTTTTGTTTTGGTTTTTTTCCTGGAAAGATCAATCTGGTACACCAATAAAAATAAACAACAACAATAAACAAAATCATTCTAATATATATTAATGCAAACTATTAAAAAGCAGGACCAAGTGTTTAATGTGAGATCAACTAACAAGACAGGAAATTATCGATCGGTAGAGAGTGAGAGGTCCGTATGGAATACTGAAAAACATGCCAGTTATATATAATTGTCTTCTGAAACACAAACATTTTCGACTGTTAAGAAAAAACAGGATTAATTTTATTCTATTTCACATTGGACATCACAACAGAGAAGTCATGTGACCTTGTCTGCTTGTTTGTATATTATCAGATGTTAGCATCGACAGTCTGCATTTGGTCTTATGACTACAGATTTATTGACTAAAATCAAATTCATTGGTGTTTTACAAAGCATATCTACGAGTCTTACAACTATAGGAGTACTTCTTCGTCATTATAAGGATAGTCTTTATGCAATTATCTTATTAACATGTGTAGTAAAAGCTGTTACTGTTTGGCAAATGTTATAAGGTGCCATCAGCGATTGTGGAAATTTACCTCTCCATCACTCAATCAATTTTTCACACATCAAACTCATATCGCTAACTAAACTGGTTATTTTAAAACATGTTTTCTGGAGAGTCTTTACGACTCTTACTGTTGCTGATTATCACTTGCTGCCCACTTTTATATAGACCTCTAAAAATAGATATCAATGATCACATGATTCTGTGCATTCCGCCATATTGTCACATTTCAGAGAATCCTCTGCAAACAAGAGCTGGTTCATGATTGCGCAAATCTCAATCTGAATATTTTGTTAACACCTAGTCTGTCAATTTGCATGACAATGTTTTGAAAGATAGCCGCCTTATTTATAACATACAACTATCGCTTAGGGTTGCTGGTGAATCGTTGGAATAGTTCCACTAATCAGAAAGTTAGGAATCATAGTAACAGCTAGTTCCAAAGGCTGTGACAATAGGCTGAAATTGTAACTGCGTTATGTTTAGCTTACAAGTCACCAACATTTTCCCAGGGAAAAAAATAAAGTTTGAAACGTTTTTATAATGGGCATGATAACCTATCTCTTGGCGTTTTGCTGGAAGTTTGGGTAAGACACTTACCTATTCCACACTGTGAATCAAAGTCTAGCGTTTTCAGAAAATTATCTCGAATCTCTGACATAAGATTGGTAAAACAGAAAAATGAATCTGCTTCTGCATACTCTGAAAGGAAGGAAGAGTGACAATTACAGTATAGTAAACACCTACCCTGGATCAGCACAGTATATAGGTACTTCTACAACAAAGATAATGTATATAAATAGATGTATTGGCTATGTGGACAGGACCTAACAAACAGCAGGTATGGCTCATAAATATATAAACCATTACTGTTTAATCACTGTCATCTGTTACAAAGACAGAAGAGCAGATGTTTTACTCTGTCCAATACAAAATAAGGTTACATATGTATAACATGAAACTGAGGTTATGTTTCCTGTCCTATTCCATGGTCTACAGTAAACTGAGGCTGTTTCCTGTCCTATTCCATGGTCTACAGTAAACTGAGGCTGTTTCCTGTCCTATTTCATGGTCTACAGTAAACTGAGGTTATGGTTCCTGTCCTATTTCATGGTCTACAGTAAATGGAGGTTATGTTTCCTGTCCTATTCCATGGTCTACAGTAAACTGAGGTTATGTTTCCTGTCCTATTTCATGGTCTACAGTAAACTGAGGTTATGTTTCCTGTCCTATTTCATGGTCTACAGTAAACTGAGGTTATGGTTCCTGTCCTATTTCATGGTCTACAGTAAACTGAGGTTATGTTTCCTGTCCTATTTCATGGTCTACAGTAAACTAAGGTTATGTTTCCTGTCCTATTTCATGGTCTACAGTAAACTGAGGTTATGTTTCCTGTCCTATTTCATGGTCTACAGTAAACTGAGGTTATGTTTCCTGTCCTATTTCATGGTCTACAGTAAACTGAGGTTATGTTTCCTGTCCTATTTGTAGGTCTACAGTAAACTGAGGTTATGTTTCCTGTCCTATTTCATGGTCTACAGTAAACTGAGGTTATGTTTCCTGTCCTATTCCATGGTCTATAGTAAACTGAGGTTATTTACGTTTCCTGTCCTATTTCATGGTCTATAGTAAACTAAGGTTATGTTTCCTGTCCTATTTCATGGTCTATAGTAAACTAAGGTTATGTTTCCTGTCCTATTTCATGGTCTATAGTAAAATGAGGTTATGTTTCCTGTCCTATTCCATGGTCTACAGTAAACTGAGGTTATGTTTCCTGTCCTATTTCATGGTCTACAGTAAATGGAGGTTATGTTTCCTGTCCTATTTCATGGTCTACAGTAAACTGAGGTTATGGTTCCTGTCCTATTTGTAGGTCTACAGTAAACTGAGGTTATGGTTCCTGTCCTATTCATGGTCTCAGTAAAATAAGGTTATGTTTCCTGTCCTATTTGTAGGTCAACAGTAAACTAAGGTATGTTTCCTGTCCTATTTCATGGTCTACAGCAAACTGAGGTTATGTTTCCTGGCCTATTTCATGGTCTATAGTAAACTAAGGTTATGTTTCCTGTCCTATTTCATGGTCTATAGTAAACTAAGGTTATGTTTCCTGTCCTATTTCATGGTCTACAGTAAACTGAGGTTATGTTTCCTGTCCTATTTCATGGTCTACAGTAAACTGAGGTTATGGTTCCTGTCCTATTTGTAGGTCTACAGTAAATTGAGGTTATGTTTCCTGTCCTATTTCATGGTCTACAGTAAACTGAGGTTATGTTTCCTGTCCTATTTCATGGTCTACAGTAAACTGAGGCTGTTTCCTGTCCTATTCCATGGTCTACAGTAAACTAAGGTTATGTTTCCTGTCCTATTTCATGGTCTATAGTAAACTAAGGTTATGTTTCCTGTCCTATTTCATGGTCTATAGTAAACTAAGGTTATGTTTCCTGTCCTATTTCATGGTCTACAGCAAACTGAGGTTATGTTTCCTGGCCTATTTCATGGTCTATAGTAAACTAAGGTTATGTTTCCTGTCCTATTTGTAGGTCACCAGTTAATAGAGATAATTTTCTATTTTGTGGCTCATGATAAACTGAGGTTATATTTCTTGATTTTGTTGTTTAACAACAGATGAAATTTCCTGTTCAGTACAAACCTTTACACTGGGCATCAGGATCTGTTGCAAAGGTATAGTAAATAGGGCCAAGGATTTCATTCATACCCTGTAATGACAGAAAATCAGTAACAATCAATCAACATTGACCAGATAATAGTATCAGCATAATGTTGACATCTACATCAACTCTACCTGTATATCATCAAGACCTCTCTTCCTGCCTTACCTATTGATAGCCTAAGCCTCTACCAACCTTACCTGTGCATAGCCTTGTCCCCTCCAACAACTACTCCTGTACATATCCAGTCTACCAGCCTTACATATGTAGAGCCTTGACCTCTACATCAACTCTACCTGCATATCACCTTGTCCTTCACATCAACTCTACCTCTAAGTAACCTCGCCCTCTCTATCAGCCTTACCTGTATATTACCTTGTCCTTCACATCAACTCTACCTCTAAGTATCGTTGACCTCTCTATCAGCCTTACCTGTATATTACCTTGATTTCTATATCAATACTACTTGTAAATAAGCTTGACCTCTAAATCAATTCTCCCAGTATCTAATCCTGTCCTTTACATCAAATCTACCTGTATATAACCTTGACCTCTCTTCCAACATTACCTGTACATAGCCTTGTCCAGGGTTCAGTTTGCCGTATATAAAGAGTATCCTCTCTACAACCTCCCAGTGAGCCTCCTGTCCATCTGGGAGTGTCATGTACTCCTCACTCCGCTTACGTCGGCTCATTATCATCTGTGTGTAGGTGAAATCATATTAATTATACATGTTTCATTGTGTATAAGTGTAATACTAAAATGATTGTCAGGTAACACATTTTTATTGGTTAATATTCATTATCTATTCCCCGATATACTCATGGTTGTTGAGTCCTTGCCAGGACAATCATTTTGATGATAGCCTAAATATGGCGGCCATCTCTCCTGCTGAAGCAGATGACTGACTGTCATCACAGAAATTGATGATTTCCGCCTACTTGAGTGTGTCATCAAAATTTGAGGAGGAGAAAAATGATAATGACAATCTTTGTGACATGTTCTGATTAACTTTTGTCCACTTCCAGCGAGTTTATCAGTAATGTCAGAATGTCAATGAAGATGATATCGCTTACAGTAGATGATATTCTCAATCCTGCGAACAACTTCAATTGTAATATCACAACGGAATAGAATTGTAGGTCATACTGTATTGTCTCCTTTGTTAAATGGATAATTCAACATAGAATGATACATAAATCCCAATCTCCATCAGAAAGAAACATCCTGACAACATTATACGAGTTTCTCCTCAGAATCATTTGTAGAAACCTCTCCATGACGTCAGCTGTTTTATAGATCTACTCTTGTGAACAAATACCTTTGCCATTCAGAGATGTACACTACAATTCAGTGGTTGAAGGGAGTGTATAAAAACCCAAATTCATGATCTGATTTCCAGTCATTACGCAGAAAAATAAGCATAGTATCCCATAAATCAAACTTATAAACCAAACACACTGATTATGTAGATCAATATATTTCACGCTGCACGAAGCTATATCGATCTTTGTTTACCTGTATGTATTAGTATATCCTTTCAATGTTTAACGGAAATCAACACAACTTCAAGTATGTTTTTGATATCTAATTACACTTATACACCAGTTTGCCAGCTACAATAAAACAATGTTGTTCTAAGGCCTCCCTCATCTCTTTTTCAATCTCTATATTACTTTCTTTGTTCTAAATTTTATCAAAAAAATAGTTGTAAGGTTCACTTCAGATTGAAATACATGGAAGAAACATATAAAAAAATAACTTGAATCACATTCCATAATTCATAGTGTTATATAGTCTATAAGTAAGTCAGCTGTCTCAATGACCCTTCATCAATTGGGGCTTTCCACTGTAAGAGCTATGCGGCCTTTTCTTAGAACAGGCTGATGGATTAAGCTACCTAAATTGGACACATTGTTTCAGTGTAATGTCTTCTATACATGTTGATGACCCTTTTGGTTGACCAAGTTAACTAGTTTCTACTAATGTAACATTGCTATGGTAGGTACATTTAATGTACATCATTATTGAGACATTTTCTATGACTTCAGAAACAATGACATCACACATTTCGTTGAATAAAAAGTTCCAAAGCCGATGGAAAAAAAATATGAAAGTACCTATATTAAAATTAAAGACCAGTTGTCAAGTGTTTACTTTTTTTTTCATTATTGGGATAGTATTTTTCTAGTGACTAAATCTACTACCTATATATCTAACCCAAAACCCTTTTGAGAATCCCTACAGATGTGATAAAACTGGAAGGGAGATGCTAGATTAGTCGCTGGTGGTAATATTAACGTACATTTGCCTTGCCCAGTCTATCAACCTGGATAGTTTCTGACTGGAGAACGCACTGCTCCACACGCTTTCTAAGGGTTTCAACACCAGAGGCAGCATTGATTATCTCCTTACATGGGTGATCTGTGGCTCGTTGAAAGAAAAACAGGTCTGGACACAGTCGTCTGTAAATATCAACACTTTAGCTTCAGTCTTTTAAAACAAAAAAGTTTAAAAAGGGTGAAAAAAACACCAGAATAACATTTGAAATAATATTTAAAATGTCTATTTGAGTTAAAATTGATTTTAAGAAGAACCTACAAGCCATATTTTGCATCTGTTTTGTGTTTTGTTTGACATCAACATATTTCAATCATGTCATGACAAACAAAATTTGTCAATGAAACATACAAAAAATTTTTTTGTTTCATTAATTAATAGTATAAAATTTGATATAATATTCCATTAATAAACAGCTTAAATCTTGTTCCATCTCTAGTAAAATTCTCATATGCTTACACATAGTGAAAACACATTGCCATCAACATCATAATGGTCTTGTAAGACTATACAACCGCTTCATCATTCAATGTTTTATCTAACAATTTTACGTCCACTAATATGACTTTTGGTCTTTCAACAAAGGAGACCATTAGTTAAATGTTTTGACAGGTAAATACAGTGCAACATTAACAGCCACATAAACTTTGATAAAGTCCACACTTGGGCAAATTGTCTAATTTCAACACCACACTGCATCACTCACCACAATTTAGAAAGATTGAAACATTTTCTTCACATTATCAAATTTTAAATTCGACATGCTGAGTACCAGGTATATTTATTTCTGCCAAGGTATTTTTGAAAAACCATACACTAAGAATGTCTTAAGAAAATCTGAATATATGAGCATATAACAGTTGTAGTTTCAGTAAACATACCGACAATCTTTGTCTATCTGTAGTAGCATTTCATTGTCTTTGAAATAGGTACCCCAGTTACTGTTGGGGTTAGGGTTCAACGGCTGAAATTAACAATTCATACCAAAGATAAGTCCATCATTACATTACTCTGAAATCATTAATTTTCATGGGGCTTAATTTTCGTGGTTTTTCAAAAAATCGCCTTTTTATTGCTACTTGATTTCTTAGCTAAATATAGCTCGACAAGTCTACTTTACTAATCTAACAGTGTGGGGATATAAAACTTGTAGATCAAGAGCACCTGCGAAATCAATGAAGATAAATCCCTTATGACAATGAATTACATTTTATCAAAACTAAAAGAGTACACTTTTTATCATTATGAAAACAAAATATGATCACTTAATGAACATATGATATGCACCTATATCACATGTAAACACTTTACACAGGTAAATACACAGAAAGATTATTCAATATTGTTAATATTTCTATTTTTTGTACAACACAGATCAATCACAGTAAATATCAGAGATAAATAACTTATACATCACAAAACCAGATACATACATGATCATCAGCATGGGCACCAGATGAAGATTCTGCACCAGGTTTTACTATCATCTCATCCACAAAGTGGTTGTAGAGCTCTCTAGAATGGAGATTCTCAGTAGTCAGTCAGGCAATCAATTAATACGGGAGAATGTAGTATACATGAAATATCTAGAAGGCTTCTTTGTCTAAAGGTTCATAGTTTATATAACATCCCAGAAACAAAGTTTGTCAGAAATTGTTTAGCAACGAAAAAGTCATTTATCAACTAAATCCAAGAATTACCTCCCTTTTATGATACTGTACTGTGTTAGCACTCAAAGTACAGGTTATTGGTAGGAGTAGGGATTTAAATCTAAGACCACTGACTTTAAATAATCATATATTGTGTATGTGTCTTCAAAATCAATCTTAATATCACATTCTAATTTTTGACCCAGAAATGTCAGAGATAAAAACAGTATTCAATGAATAGCCATTGTATTACAAAACAACAAAACCATCATCTGACTAACAAGATAAAAAACATAGCAGTTGCAACACTTAATGTGATTATGTTATGTATCAAAACTGTCCTAGTAACAAATTCATGAAAGGGCTTAACGTAATAAAGTTTGATAACATGATTATGTCTCCTTTCTGAATGAAGGGAGACATACTGTTTAACCACAGTACTGGTTCTTGTAATATTTCTTGTCTTGACCACAACTTTTGAACCAATGAAGATATTTAACGGGTTGATGAAATTTTAAACATACATGCAACACCCACAGATGGTACGCAACACATTAAAATGAGGTTCCTGTGACCTTCACCTCAATGTCATGATAATGCATTATTGTAGAGACTGGTACACAGAGTCGATTACTATACGGTCAATGATACAAGGTCAAGGTCGCATTGGGTCAAGTTTCATATATTCTTAAAGCAGCATCGTGCTAAAACGACTTTTATGTTCTACTGATTTTCATAAAGAGCTTTGTAGCATTGTCACAACTTGACAGGGCAATCACACGACAGCCTGAAATTGCTTATTTGTGTGTACAGAATGTGTTGTAGTAACATGTCTGGTCGTCGCTTTGTTGTCTTTGTTGTGTTGTTTTTAGATCAGGACAAGGACATACACTATCATAGTATAAAATTGTCACAAATTGACACAAACTTTACTTATGTAGCACAATAAACAATTGTTACAGTAATTTAGAATCACTAAACAAACAACACATATCCTTACCTTTGTTTAGATAATACCTCTTTCCATTGTGATTTGGTTTTTGGCAGGTAATTCAGCAGTAACTGTTAGAGTTGAAAAATACTTAATATGTATAATATTATTTGCACCAGGTTGAAAAGTAACCAAAATAAGCATGTTATATATAATGATAAGTCAGATTAAAAAGTAACAGAAATAACCTACCGCAATAGGTGGGTGTTATTCAGGCCCCAAGGATTAAATCAATTATTCTAATTAATGTATAAACACACATGTTATAAAACATGTGGTTGGCACTGCCCACACACACATAATTTATAACTCACAATAAGTAGTCCACATTTGTCTTTGGAATTATTTGGATTTCCATCCTCCCCCTCCCCCCCCCCCCACCCCCACCTCTCTTTTTTGGCATTTTGAATATAAGATATAAGAACAAAAACCAATATATTTCTAGTTATAATTTGTAAAGAGTTAAAACATCACCATGTATTTCTAAAATTGTTAATTGGGGGCACTCACTCACTAGTAATTTTTTATTCCAAGTTTCGTTCCATTTTGGATCTTAATTCCTGGGGAATGTTCCCCCCAATACTTTTTTAGATATTAGTCTTATATGTCTTGATTCTGATTGCTTATCAACTTTGTTTTAATGGCATTTTCATTTATACTTAGATTCACTAGCCTCTGGAATCGCTTGAGAGTTTGTCATGCCAGCTTTGAATCGCTTAAGTCTGATTTCTCTTGAATTGTTCAAGATTTCTATTATACTAGCTCTTAAATCACTTAAGTCTGGTTTTGATAGTCACAAAGGGAAGGTATGAATACTTACTTTCCAACATATAGACCGGTATCCATTTTCAAATGGACATCCTGTGGAACAAAAAAAACTTTATTACTTTTTTTCGTACAACGCAAACTACACTTATATAGATTCTATAAGCCCAGTGAGCCAACATGTAATGTGAAAAGTAGGGAAGTGTTGTTTTTAGTTTTTTCACCAACTGGTGAAAAGATCTATTGTTATGTTTCTAACCATTATTTTTCTTTTGCAAAAGGCCTAGAGGCGAGAAATTCACATTTGAGAGGTTCAGAACATTGCCTATCTAGTTTGTTAATATAATAAATAACTTTGACCCAATTTTAAGGTCACACGGTCAATCATGTCAAAATATTTCAATAGCAAAAGGCACATGATGATAAAATTTTGTCAGTAGCATACTGTAATCAATTGCTATTGAATGTATTCATAAAACCTTGTGCAAAAATTCAATTTCCAGTTTTCAGTAGAAGTTGAAAATTGCTATTGTTAGCAACAAACTTTGAAAAACAGAGGAAGCCCTGATCGTTCAGGATCAAGTTTGTTGATTTAAATGACACTGACAAATTGTCTAGGTCACAGGAGTCAATTATTTCAAAATGTTTATATAACAATTTCCCTTACCAAAGACCTCCATGGTGATACAAATTTGTCTGTAACATATAGTTATCATTTGCCATTGAATGTAATAATAAAACCTTATCTGAAAATTAAATTTCCAGTTCTTCATATTTGTCAATGTTGAAAATTGCTATCTTGGGTAACAAACTTTGAAAAACATCTTCTCAATTTCTTCAAGTTCAATGGCCTTGATATTTCAAACCTAGGAAGCTGTAGTCATTTACAATGAGGTTTGTTAATATAAATTACCTTGACCTATATTCAAGGTCACAGGAGCCAATTATTTCAAAATAGCATTTTCTCAATACCTAAGACCCACAGGGTGATAAAAATTTGTCAGTAGCATACAGTTATCAATTGCTATTGAATGTAATAATAAAACCTTGTCTCAAAATTTAACTTTCAATTTTCAGTGAGGTTAAAGTTGAAAATTGCTATTTTGGGTAAAACTTTTGAAATTAAAAAAACTTCTCACATTTTGCAAGGTCTAGGACCTTGATATTTCAAGCATAAGAGGACCACAGGCCTTAAGGGTCATCTGACTATAAAGACCTGTACATGAAAGAGGCCAAATAGGCCTAAAACAATAGCTCAACTACACTACAGCTTACATAGAAGACATTGGTAGGTTCATAAAGACATTTCTGCAAAGTTGAAACCATATTCTCTATATATGCCCAACACAAATGCCATTACTCCGGACATATTGCTGGTTAAAAAAAAGCAGGCCAAAAACAAGACCCTTGAACCTTTTGTTTTTGAGAAGTTGTTTATGCATTTTAACACGTTTGACCCGTGACTTTGACAGTAGGTCAAGGTGTACAAACTAGGTAGCCCTTCATTCCAGATCTCTAGGCCAAGGTAATTCATTCTAACAAACTTGGCAGCCGTTCATCCAAACATGCTAAAGATCAATATCAGTACCATGGACATTTTGGTTACTGAGAAAATATTGTTCAAAGATTTTGACATATTTGACACCTTTGACCTTGAGAGTAGGTCAAGGTCAGTAATATGAATAAATGTGGTAGCCCTTCATCCTAGTATGCTACAGGTCCAATATCAGCACCATGGGCCTTTCGGTTATTGAGAAGAAGTTGTTAAAAGATTTTTTAACATATTTGACCCCTGTGACCTTGAAAGTTGATCAAGGTAATTTATTTTAACAAACTGGGTAGTCCTACATCCTAGCAATGCTACAGGCCTAATATCAGCACCCTTGACCATTATATTATTGAGAAGAAGTCATTTAAATATTTTAACATATTTGACCCCTGTGACCTTTAAGTGGGTCAATGTCATTCATTTTAATAGACTTAGTATCCCTACATCCTAGCATGTTAGAGGCCTAATATCATCACCCTTAGTCTTCTGGTTATTGAGAAGAAGTCATTTGAATGGGAAGTTTACGCTAGGTGGAGGTGCACAATGTACCAAACACGATGGCTATAGGTCATCCTGTCCCTTTGGGTCAAATAACCTTATTATGTCTGCAGCATGCTGTGATTAATTGTTATTGAATGTATTACTAAAACCTTGTCTGAAAATTCAACTTCTGCTTCTTGATAGGGGTCGAAGTTGAAAATTGCTATTTTAGGTAATAACTTTGAAAAACTTCTTCTCAAGTTCCACAAGGTCTAGAATAATGATGCATCATTTGTTAGATGTCTGTCTCATTATCTATCAGGTTTTAAAATATGCATGACTCTCAAGGTCACAGGAGTCAGTTTTGTTAAAATTTTCAAATGACTTCTTTTTAGTAACCAAGAGGTACAGAGCAATGATATATGGACATTTGAATATGTGATCAATTGCTATTGGTATCATAGCTGTAGTAGAAAAAATTTTGTCAAATGTCCATTTCCCATTTTCAGTAGGGTTCGAACTTAAGAAGTTCTTCATTGGTTTATTCAAATAAATAATATGAAGTTGTACAGTGCAGTTTAATGAGGCAATATATAAACTACTAGTTTGAATATAGGTGAAAAGCCCATCAAATTGATTGCCAACAAACTTTAATTTATTTTGTCTTTTTTATTACACTAAAATTGAGGTGAATGGGCTTATTAAAAAACATTGATTTATCAATGTATTGATGTGCTTTTAATCTTCTCAGAGCTGGCCAGTATAAAGATTTATATCTTTAGACAACTCAATTGAAGTTTGCTTTGCAATCTAGATATTGTAAAAATGACTAGTGAACAAAAACTTTACCGATGCCTTTGTTGAAAAAACAAAAACACAAATAAAATAATAAATGTTCACTAAACAAAGACAGATCTGTATAACCTTCAACTTTTGCCATTTCCTGACATGAAAAGGAAACATATGACCATTTAGGAATCTGGACTGCCTTATCCATTAGTTAACTTTTGTAGTTGTACTGTTGAATGTCAAGGTCAGTAGTTGGATGAGTGACTGCTGTGGATATCCCTGGAACACACTACATTTAGCTTGCAACATGTCTGCTATCCTGCAGAGTACCCTCGGTCTCCATGGAAAGCACAATGTTTTGTTGAGACAACTGGGTTTATCACTCTTGAACAGCCAGGGTAATTTTGTGGTAGAGTCTCCTTACCTCTGTGTAGAGATCATTGAAGAGTCTTGGCTGTCTCATGTCATCCAAAAACAAAAATATTATCATGGACAGATAGCCACAACCCCTCAGACTAGTTATTGGTATAGACATAAACTTTTTTTTGATTTTACAACAACTGCAAATCATCTTTTAAGCTTTACTCTTAATCACTCTTGTTGACTTTAATAACGGAAACCAAAAACCCACATGGTCTCATAGGTGTCAGTCATTCTAGGTTTTCCATTTTAGTATGTCTCACAAATCAGGGTCAAATTACCTCGGATTGCAGCAGTCATCTCTGATTACACCCCATAAAATTACAATTACCCTTGAGCATGACCCCATGTGCTCGAGTGGTACCAGGTGGTGTGTCTAAACTGTCTGACACTGATCATGCAATACAGTTGACATGTGGAAGTTCAACAAATAAGCCTACTGTTTGAGGTTCCAGTTCACTAAATCTGACTTTGGCCTGGGATAAGTCATTCATTCATACATATATAAAAGGATAACATTTGAAGGTCATTATCATTTGGTAATAAAACAGGCCAGGACTTTCTAAAGATATGGAAACAACTGTTTTCTTACAGTAATTTCATCTGTGTATTCAATGCTTGACTGTGTAATGAAAATCAGATTGCATCAAACAATATTATTATGAGTAATGCTTCTTCTGTACAAATCAAATAACCTAATGTCTGAATGGAAACTGCATGTGTTTTAATGTGATCTTTTCTCATTTTTCCACAATAAAACCTTGCTAGTTCATGTGATCTTGGTCAGTGTTACTATATCTTGATACCATAGGAAAAAATATGCCTATCAATACTTGCTAGTAATGTAATAAAACATTATTTAACAGATTAAAAAAACAATAGACAAATGAAAGGGATTTTCATGTATTTCAATAAGTACCACATTTGACCCTGAATGTCTTTTGCAATTTAAGCCCTTGCAACATTTCTGTTTCATCTGGGAGTCACAATGATTTGAAAAAACATTGTATATCAGAAAAACACAAACAAAGGTAAAAGTGTTAACTAGAGCTAGATCTGATGCAGTCTGTTAGTAATGCTGATCCTCCATATAAAAATGTGCAGTTTTGTACATAACTTAGACATGTAACAATGTGTTAAATACATACAAAACAAAACATGCATTATCACTGACTGCACCGATTACACTCCATCTGATGATGTTTTGGTTGCTAATATATAGGACAGCATACAACCTCTTTAAACACTGCAGAACACAGTTATTGTATCAAATCATTTCAATCTGAGCAGGAAAAACTAAATGAATTACTTGTATAAAAAAACTAAGTGAAACAATTTTCTTTGTATATATTACACAAATGGTAGCAATTTTTATGAAGAGAGGAAAACAATGTGAAAATTGTCACACATTCTTTGAGATATGAAATCAGAGAGGTCTCCCCCATCAGAGGTTTCACAGGCTAACACCTATGTATGTGGTCGAGCAGGTGACACCATACATTTCTAAAGGTGAATGGCGCGTGTGTGTGTTTAAAGAGCTCTAATTATTATATTATATCTACTAATAATAATAATAATAATAATAATAAAGTTTTATTTATTGTCGGTATTAAAAACAATACAAACATTAGCTCTTTTGAGCTATTTCATCCGACACATGCATACAGTTACACATTAAATACACAATGACATAATAGATAAGATATAAGTTTAGAACTACTCGGATAAAAAACTTTAATATTTAGCGGGTGATATATCAAAATATAGTATTGTTAAAATGTGTCTGATTATATAGGTGTTCTATGTGTGTCTGTAATCATGTGTGCATGTGTTGCATTTACATTTTGGCCCATACCAGCTGTTATTTAGTGTCTTAAATTGTGTAAGTGTGGTTGTTGTTCTGAAATGGTCTGGTAGGGTGTTCCAAATTTTAGGTGCTTCTGATCTAAATGAGTGTTTGCCGTATTTTGTGGTCCTAACCTGTGGTATTTCCGCTGTATTATGGTATCTAAATGTATATGATTTTTCTGTTATGTTTATGAGGTCATGTTAGTGTTTGATTGTTGCTAATTTTGAAAACTTCTATTGCAAAATTTCGAAGGCGCCTAATTTTGAGAGAGGGTAATTTTGAACGGGCTAATAAATTTTCGTATGTATTTTCATGGTCGTCATAGATGAATTTCAGAGCCCTTTCTTGAATTTTTTCCATTTTTCGTGTGTTAGTTTCACCACAGAAGTGCCATGTAAGTGGGCAGAAATTAAAGTTCGAAAGAATGAAAGAATGATATATAGTGAGTCTGCCCAGTCTGTTTAAGTGTTTTCCTATGCGTTTGAGTGTATTGAGTTGTTTGGATGCTTTTTTGCAGATGTTGGATACATGTGTGTGGAAGTTTAGATTAAAGTCAAGTGTAACTCCTAGCAGTTTAACCTCTGGTTCGCATTTAATGGTATTGTTGCCTACTTGGAAAGTGATGTTTTCTTTTTATGTTTTATTACCTACTGCCATGGCTTGAAATTTATTTGGGTTAGCTTTCATACGATTGTTTGCGAACCAGTGTATGAGTGAGTTGCAGTCTGTTTGTAGTGATGTTTTGACTGTTTCTAATGAGGTGTGTGCTTTACTAATAGTGTTGTCGTCGGCATAGTTGTATAATTTGCAGTGTTGTATAGAGTGGAAAATGTCGTTGATGAAAGTGTTGAAAAGAATTGGCCCTAATATTGATCCTTGTGGTACTCCTTTGTATAGTTCCTGAAAGGTGCTTTCAATATTTCCTAATTTAACCTTTTGTTTTCTGTTTTTGAGATAGTTCAAAATAAGTTCTGAGGCCGAATTTGAAAGTCCATAGTTTTTGAGTTTGAGAGTTAGTAGGTAATGAGGCAAGCAGTCAAAAGCCTTTGAGAGATCCATAAGTATGCATCCCACATACTTATTCTGGTCTAGTGCCATTTTCCAATCCTCAACGACTCTCAATAATGCCGTCTGACATCCATATCCGGCTCTGAAGGCAGAGAGGTAAGGGTGAAAGACACCATCAAGGAAGTCGCTGAGTTGGAAGTGTATGGATCTCTCAAAGACCTTGGACAGTGCCGGAAGTATACTCACTGTAGTTTCCTTTGTCAAGGGTGCTGTCTTTCTTGTGAATTGGTCTAACTTGTGCTGTTTTTAATGCGTCTGGGAATGTTGATGTAGTGAGAGAGAGGTTTACAAGTGTAGTGATAGGTTTGATAATGCTGGGTTGTGCTAGGTGAGATATTGTCATGTCCTGTTGCTTTTTTAGGATTAATTTTGTTGAACTGTTTGTTTATGAATTCTATATCTACATGTTTAAATGTAAATTGTGTATCTTGTTTTTTGTTCCTGGCTATGGTCTGTAGACTAGGATGTTGGTCGTCAATAGGAGGGCTGTTAGATCCAATATCTTTTGCTACATTAACGAAAAAATTATTAAAGGTGTCTGCTACTTCTGCTTGTTTGTTAATTATTTTTCCTTTTTCTTCCAATATAATGTCTACTTGATTTTGGCAGCCTTTGTTTGTAATGAATGGTTTGATAGTTTTCCAAAAGTTCTGGTTGTTTTTTCCCCCTGTACATCTGTCTAGGAAGTATTGCTTTATTGACTGTTTTCTGAGTTTAGTGACTTTGTTTCTCTGTGTTCTGTATTTTTCCCAGTTATTCTTGGTGCGGTTGGTGATGTACTTATTGTGAAGCCTTTTCTTGTAATATATCTCTTGTCTTAGTTTCTTGTTCATAAATGGTGCTTGGTGTAATCTAGCTCATCTTTTTTTCATTGGGGCGTGTTTGTTTATTATGTCTGTCAGTGTTTTGCTGAAGTTGTTGTAGGCTGTGTTAACATCTGTATGTTTCACTGTTTCTTCTAGTGATGCGTTCTGTAGGTCAATGTGGAAGTTTTCAATGTTAAAATTTCTGAAGCTTCTATATGTTACCAATGGTTGTTTTCTAATAGATATCTTGCTTTTCATTTAACATGCTATTAAATTATGAACGTCACTGATTCCAGTATTACAATTACATATTTTCCCTATTAATTTTGGTTTGTTGGTTAAAATCACATCAATCAGTGTAGGATCAGTGTTTTTAGGAAAGCAAGTTGGGAAAATGTCACAGATATTTCGCAGAGGCTGTCCTTTAGGTGTTAAAAGGTCATAGTTGATATCACCTAAAACCATAAAATGTTCATACTTTGTTGTACATTTATCTAAAGTTATCTACATGTATGATCTACCTGTCTAAGATCAATTTCTGAGAAAATATACCGATGTGGTTTGAATAAATGTTTCCGACCAAACTGCCGTTCTTCGGCAATCTTTGTTAGACGATACAACAGCAAACTGTCTACTGTATTGAATACCTTACCATTGAAACATAGTCTTCCAAGTCGTTTTCTGTCAATAGAATCGGATTGCAAAGTATCTTCAAATTCTTGAAGCCTGTATTTAAAGACAAAAGAAATAGTTATAAAATGTGTGTAATAGTGATTTGAACGAAAGAAGGAAATTATCCTGAATTTCGGTCTAGAAATGTTTGTGGGCGGGTTAGCAATACAAACCTCGCTCTGTGAGCTGCCATTTCAGTTCCTGTTTACATTCTCTTCACGCATGCGTAAGTGTCTATTTCCTCCACGTGTACATCTTAAAATAGAATAGATAAGTCAGAGAAATGTTTGTCGACCAGTCTACAGCAATTAAGCGTCTTTGTGATATGCGATTTACTTTCGTTTCCGAAAGATTGAGAAAACAGTACGTTGAACATATTTTACTTTCGTTTCAGAAATTAAAAGACTTTTTATGTTTGCAATACTTTCAACTGCACAGGTAAGTATAGATATAAAATATTACAAGGTAGAAATAACTCAAAGGTGTCAATAAGGAGAAAAAGGTAAGGAAGAGTATGGTCAGCCTTGATGTTATGTATCTGCAGTTAATCCCTTTTGGGATTCCTCTTTGCACTTGAGACTCATTTACGTTTGACATTGGCGACGGACATTGTCATACTTCCCATATAAATGAATTTCACATCAAGAGGAATCCAACAAGGGATTACAGTACAGTCTGTAATTGTGCATAGCAGGCCTCAATGCTAATATTTGCGCGTTGGGAGGGAGAGAGAGTGAGTGGGTGGCAGGGATGACTTAGATCCCACGATTGGCGCGCAAACATTTTTATCTTCAAAATTATTTCAGTATGTCACAGTTCATATGAGGAAAGAGTTCTTGTGTTGAAGTACTCAATTAGTTTGCCCCTTTAATAGAGTCATTTATTTTTTAATGTGATCAGTGAAAAAAAAATGGACCACATGTAGTGATCTAATGTTGACATATATTAAGTTTGAAATAGCTATTTCCTGAGAAGTACTAGAGGAATTTCCTAAACTTGAGTACCTTTCTTATGGTACCGCGACCATTTCAGATTGATCAGTGAAATAAAATGGGTGACAGGCAGCTGTTAGGGTTTGACAGGTGAGGTTTGTTATTGCCATTTCTTGGAAAATCTTGTTCAATCTTAATATTTTATATGTAGGATTCCCTTATCATCAGGAGAAAAAGAGGAAAGTAGAAAAAAGATCAGTCTTGCATAGAACCAATAAAGATCATCTAATGATATTTAAAAGTATGAAATAAAAATGATTATATATATATATATGTCAAAGCAAAAGTAAGCAGGCTTTTATTTTCTTTTTCTGAAAAATGGTGGAATGTCCATGCTGTTAATGAAACTGATTGCTATTGTCTTCAACTCTAGAAAAAGTTTAACAGCAGAATAAAACTATTTACACTTATTTTCTTACATTAAGTTTAAACAAACTCAATAGACACACACCACACTTTCACACTCTAATTCCAAGTATAATGGCATATAATATTTACACAATATTTATGTATTGACCCAATATTATACTCTACCCTAGATAACAAATCTGGAATCACAGTCTGTAGCTTTCAATCTCTGGCCCCACAACTGGATATCATCACAAAGAAAATAATAGTTTCTCTACCTCAACAAACAATGATAGTTGTTTACTAGATAGCTGATCTGCTCTCCAGTATCAGAATGTTATAGCAACAGGTGAATATGTCAGAATCATGATATGATGAATACTTTCTGCTTCCATACATGATGTAGGGGATACAAGATACAGTGGTATAATGGTTCTGTAGCACACAGGTTTCCATAACTCCATAAACTGTTGAATACCTGTATGAAGATTCCGCTGAGCAGTATGAGCTTCCATAGTTCTCAGAAAAACAATGGCAATGCATTGGAATCACAGGACTGAATAAATAGTATGTGCAAAACAGATATTAAACACAACATACTCACGCATTACCAATAAGAGGGTGTTTCCTTTATTATGTCTACTAGTTTTGCCGCTGAAGTTGAGGCTTCATCGGGATCTGAAGAACTTCAAAAGGACCTGATGAAGCCTCAACTTCAGAGGTGAAACTAGTAGACATATAAAGGAAACACCCTCTTAATGCCTGAGTATGTTGTGATTAATATCCATTTTGCACATACCATTTAGTTTTTGTTTAATCGCCCTGCATACCATTTGGTATCCATACTCACAGTGAAGTACCCCACTAAACAACCACGTATCCAGACCTGACGTTGGCTTTTTCCTTTTGAAGTTCTTAAGAGGACTGAATAAAGTTACAACAGATTGATAAGGTCCTATAACTAATTAGGATATAATACCTTACGCATATAATCAGTAGAATATGTCAATCTAAAGTGTTTACTTTTGTATTACATAACTTACACACATGTATGTATCTATTTTTGTAACCACACACAAACATTAGCACTACACCTTACATACACATAAAGTATGCATTTGCAAATTAAAAACATAATTGTAGACATAGACATTCAACTTAATTGTAAACAAACTCCTACAAACCTGATACAATACTAGTATTCGGTCACCTCCAAGATCTTTGTTTCATTCTGGTATTACCACAACAGAAAATATTCTGGAGCACAACATGATGACCTACAAGCTAACCTTGATGGATCCATAACTAAATCCAGATTGATAGTGGAGTCATGTCAGGGACTATTCAAGCAATGTCTGTTTTTCTAAACACTACGTGCCTTCAGCTATCTATTGATGCCATTGAAGCACTGGTTAGAATAGTAACAGCCTGTCTCAATCTTGAAGTTTTTCATTGAAGTTTGTTATTGCTATTTCTTGAGAAATACTAAATGGATCTCTCTCAAATTTCATATGTAGGTTCCCTCTTGGTTTCACATGTTGTGTTGGTTTAGTTTATGGTCTGATCAGCAAAACAAAGGCATAGATCTTTCTCAAATTTCTTATGTAAATTCTCCTTGATCCCTGGTTGTGTCCCATTGATTTTATGTGTGATTAGAAAAATAAAATGGCCGACAGGTGGCCATCTTGGATTTTGACTTTGAAAGTTTGTTATCGTTATTTCTTGAGAACTATTACAGTGACCACCTCAAAATTACGACCACCCCGCTATTATGGGCACTTTTTTGTACATATATCTTTCCCAAATTTCACGTGTAGTTTCCCTTGATCCCTAGTTGTGCCTGTTTGATTTTGGGGCTGACCAAAAAATAAAATGGTGGCCATTTTAGATTTTTACTCTAAAAGTTTGTTATCACCATTTGTTTATACCTACTGCATAGATCTTTCTCACATTTCATGTGTAGATTCTTCTTGGTCTCTTGTCGTGAACTTAATGCAGTTCAAGATTGCAATTAGACCTGAAATATAGTTACATTGTAATTGATAGTATGGATGTGTCAGCCCACTTAACAGGTCTGATGAATTTTAATCATTTGTGCATGTTTATATTGGTGATTAAATTTTTCTTTTTTTTTTTTTTGGAGGATACTACAAAATCTTAATGGCATAGTGCATTCATTTCAAAATCAGCAGTTTATAATCATGTTGAGAAACAAGTAACTGCAGTAAAATACCAGAAAAATTTTGTTTTCATAACTTGAAAAAAGTACTCTTAATGGGATGACAATGTTGTTTTGACCTTTGAGGATTACGTTGAAAAAAATTCATTTGATATTATACAATGCATTGATATTTAAACATACCATCAAAATATCAAAGGTGCTCACTTGCATGCATGCTGTAAATTGAAATTTGCTTTGGGACTTTTTTAGATTAAAAAAAAAACTTGAATTTAGTGTATTTTGCATTTTCACCCTAATGACAAAGCAGCATAACACATAAAATTACACCTAATTACATTACATTACAGCCAATATAAGTAAACAATATGGCACAATATAGAGATACTCTCCTTAGGCCCCTTGAAAGAAAATTAACATTTTCACATACATGGTAAACATTTAGGTATCCTACTGGTAGTCTAATACTGTAATAATTCGACCTAATTGATTCTAGGTGTATTTGAATATATTTTGATGTATTTGAGTGTATATGAGTAAAAAGTCCAGTCGCTGTGGGCTGGTGGTGATCTTAACTTGATATGGTTGGCTATTATTTGTGGCATATGTGTCTACAATATTTTTAGTTATATAATTAACCAAATTCCTTGATGTCTGGATGGCTCTTTTTGGTCTAGATTTTTGTGAAAAGGCAGATAGGGTTATGGCTGGTACCACCCCTCAACCACTTTGTACATAGATATGAGGCATTGTGCTGGATTAGAATGTTGGTACAAATGTATTTCCGGTGCCTGTAGCATTTCCCTCATACATTTACATCATTTTTATCAGATGGAATATTTTCTGATTATAAACCTGGCTTCCTGTCTTTGAATTTTCTCCAGCTTGTCAATTTCAGATTTTGTGTAAGGGTCCTCGATATTAGCCCTGTCTTCCATTAGCTTGCTTCATTACCAGACATTAGACCAAAAATTTCTGTCATTAAAATGATGATTCATGTCGATATTCACATTAAATATGCTGTTATTGACATTTACATTTTTTTTTAAAATTTTTATTTTCCAAGAGAGAGTTTGAACAATACAAAAACCATAATATTATCAAAACATCATACAGTACATTACTTGCAAATTTCCATCCATACACCATAATTTCATATTCACTCCCAAATGTATAAACATTGTTTTTTTTTTTTTTTTTAAAGATAGGAGGATGAAGATCTAGCAGTATAAAGAAAAGAAAGAGAAAGGAATAAAAAGGAAAAAGAAATTGAAATAGACGGAAAGAAAGAAAAATAAGGGAAAGGCAGCAGACCTTCCAAGTATGTGACTGCTTATGTTGTTGGTATGATATAACCAAAGGTTATTTCCATATCGAAAAAAAACTGAGAGAAGATAGATGGGAAGGACAAAAGTTAGCAAGCATGACATGTTTATAGAATAAAGGTGAAGCAACAAGTTACTTTAAGAGATGATTAAATCATGATGAGAACTGTCAGGGCTTAGGCAAGTTCCACTAGTTTTAACCACTTTTGCCACTCAGCTGTAAATTTGTTTAAATATTTTCCCCCTTTTCCATAAGCAATGTATTTCTGGACCAAATAATAGTCTTTAATAGAATTAGTAAGAGACATAACATTTAATGAGCTATGCAAGCATCTAGTTTTGTAAATGTAATATTTAATATAGAGAATAATTTCATTATCAATCCTGTTATATATCCCTGTTTGATTAATACACCCAAAAAGCATGGTTTCTTTATTTATTGAAAAGTAATGAAAAGGATATTAAGGAGGGATTCAATAATTTGATAAAAAGTTTTGTACTTCAGTACACTCCCATAAAAGATAAGTGATTGTCTCCCTTTCTAAAGAGCATGGAGTGCAAGGTGGGTTATTTGAAAGATCAATCTTATAAAGATATGTATTAGTTGTTAAGATATAATGGGAAATTCTAAATTGTAGCCACTGCAGCTTAGTGTTGTTTGTTACCTTGAGAGGTATATATATCTTTCCAAGTGCTTTGATCATAATTAAACATTGTTCCCCATTTATTTTGTCCAGTTATTATTGTTTAGTTTTGAATAAGAGATTTGTAGAAGTCCTGTGATCCACGATTCTCTTTTAAAATGATTTCAAGACTTAAGGGTATAATTGGTAGTTCTATTAACTTAATTGGTTTAGTCAAGTTTTTGAGATATTTTTCAATACTTGATGTAAGTCCATGAAACTGAAGATAGGTACATATTGTACCATGAATGTTACAAAACTCATTATAGGAGAAAAAATAACAAGTTGAGGCATTTTTAATCAGATCCTGTACAAAAACTATTGCCTTGCTGAACCAGTTATGGTAGAAAACTGTTTTTTTCCAAAAGTAATATTTTTATTATACCATAAAGGAGTTTTAAGTATAGAATAGTTATCTTTTTTAACCAAGTCCTCTTTGATTCTAAGTTTGTACCAAGCTTTAAAAACATCATTCCAGAAAGCAGTTTTACAATTATTTTGAATAACATTGATATACTCACTTCCACAATTTGCCAACAAAAGAAAATTTACTTGGGTTTTTAAAATCCTAAGCCATTTAGCATCCGACCGAAAGATCCTTCTTATCCAGCTGATTTTTAAGGAATCAATAAAAGAGACAAGATTTACCATTTTAAGACCCATCAATATAATTCTGAGTAATTACATCTCGCATAATTTTATTGGTATTACTGTTCCATAAGAAATTATAGAGGACAGTATTAAGCTGCTTGATAAAACACTCATCAGGATTTGGTAATGAAATAAAGGGATGGTTCAACTGAGAAATTAATAAAGATTTTATTATATTAATCTTACCAATAGGAGTAGGTCTCCTTTTACTCCATCCCTTTATCAAACTTTTGAGTTTAATTAATTTTTTATCATAATTTGTTTTTGGAATTCTATGGAGATCAACATGAAATCTATACCAAGAAGTGTAAATTCATCAACCCCCCATCTTAGATTTAAATTAGGAAGAAGTACATCATTACTAAACTTTTTACTACCTATCCAAATAACTTGAGTTTTACCTATATTAACTTTTAGTCCAGAAATTTTTGCATAGATATTTAATTCTTCAACTGCTGCCTTCAAAGACTTTTCTGATCTGTCAAGTATCAATGAGGTATCATCTGCATACTGTGAGTTAAGAATTTGACAATTATCTACATTTATACCAACAGTATTATTATTATTTCTAATGTGAGTAGCCAATATCTCAGCACAAATTATAAATATATAAGGAGCAATTAGATCACCTTGGGGACAGCCACACATAATGTTAAAAATAGATGATAAATTACCCCCCTGATTAATAGCAGAACAAGCATTACAGTGTAATATAGTTATCCAATTTCTTAACCCAATCCCAAACTTAAAATATCTTAAGGTTTCATCAATAAATTTCCAGGAGACAGAGTCAAAAGTCTTTTCAAAATCAATTGTTAATAACATTCCTGGTATATCATTTTCTTCCGTGTATTGCATAATATCATATATTAGTCTAGTATTTTCCCCCAATATAAAACCTGTCTGATCAGAATTCAAAATGTTTTCTAAGACTATCTTAATTCTATTAGCTATTGATCCAGAAGCAATTTCATAGGCAAGTCATTTACATTTTTATCCTCCGCAAAATGCATCTGCGGGGAGTAATGAATTTGACTTCATCCATCCATACTTTGCACAGCTATAAAGCTAGACTTAGTGGTGCCTTTTGCTATGGGGAAGTTTTCAAGAACAAATGGAAGTAGCATTTTGTTTCCTAATTTTAGCAAGTCAGGTTGACCTACTTTTTAAATTTGCGGTACAGCATAGGTAAAAAAATGGTTAGTTTATATTGTATATATTATATAACGGAAAATGATTAAACTTTAAGTACAAAACCATCTTGGAATGATGATGGGAGCATTATGTACCATGGCAGTACTCTTGTTATTATCATTATATGATATAATTTTATATTTCAAATTAGTTTCTAATGATATTATTTGAAACATAATATCATTAAAACTTACTTGAAATATAAGTTTCTAATTAATTATCTTATATTTTAAATAAGTTTCTCATTATGTTGTCTGTCAAAAATAGCATTTATCATTGGTTTTTAAAGTAAATATCGTATTCATGTATGTATCCCATGATAAATTATATAACCAAGGTTATTGATTATGTAGTCATTTTATTTACAATTGATGCCAAACCATACAACAGTAAAAAATGATCTACATGAAAATATCAGTAACAGTTCTATACCTGTTACTATGGTATCAACATAAATATAAGGTGATTTTGTGTCTTTTTAATTGTGGGACACAAGGATAATGTCACAATCTTGTTGCTGATTAAAATGAGCATAGTCAGTCAAAATATTAATATCAATAACAGCTTAACAAGTGTTAATATTGACATTTCATCATTGTTTTAGAGACATGGTCTATTTGGACAAAATCCACATATGGCTACTAAAACCTGCATTTGAATGCTAGTTACTGCTTTGAATAGTAAATTGTTTTTTCAAATGCAGGACCTTTTGGAATTGAAACACATAAAGCCTTTTTAAACAACACTTACTTGTCACTGGAACTTCATACTTGGATTATGGGTCCCCAATTGGCGAGACTGTGTGCGTTGTGTTAAAAGTAGGTCAATATGACTTACATTTTTGACCTTTGGCCTATACATTTCAGGAAAAATGTTTTGCATATAATTACATGCTTGATGGGGTACTGTAATTCATTACATTTTCTTGTCTTTTAATCTATTTATGCCCACTGTTGCAGCCTTTCAGCAGACAGGTATATGTTTCTTTCCATCAATCAATGATAGTCATAACTTAACTGCTGAAATTAATCTCTGCCTCCCAGGTTCAGTTCTTACATAAGATATTACACCAAAGCAGTTTAAATTACATTTAGGTAAGAGGAATAAAGAATGGTGTATCTCTGGTTGGAGAAAGCTGACTTAGGCATGAAAAACTTAACAATCACTAATGATATACACATAGTTTCTCTGATCCAACTCCATCCCTTTGACATTGTCTTGGATGCGGAACTGTTCATTATTGTACATGTAAATGTGTAATATTTGAGACATTAACAAATTAGTTTTTTATTATATTTGCAGAATGGCAACTCGACCCAAAGCAAAGTTCAAGCTAATCACTCCAAACCAGAAATATCATGCCTGCATTTCGTATCACGAAACAGTTAAGGAAACAGTGAATAAGCACATTGTTTGTGAATTGAGAAAACTTGGTTTCGACATACAAGAAGTGTCATGTGATGACAAATCAAACTTTCTGAAAATTCTTAAAGAGTCTGATGCATGGGTGGAGGTGTTAACAGAAGAGTATAGAAAATGTGCTTGTTGTAAGTCCCGTTATGATAAATTCACAAAAACAAGAGAGGAGACTAAAACAAAATCACTGCAAAAACTTCTACATCTACAAGTGCCAGAATGTGAGACAATGAAGTTACGTGTTCACAGTGACTACTCTGCTGATGTAGATGCTTTCAGTGGAGAGGGATCATCTTGGTTTGATGATCTGCAGCTGGCTATAGTTGTTCGATTCCATGCTTTCCTTTCCTACCATGAATCTGATGATAAAATGGCAAAAAAAATCATGGAATGGTTGAAAGAAAATGGCTACTTGTTTACATACAGGAGGAAGTTTCTGTCCTTAGGAGATGCTAAGAAGGCAGCCGTGGATGATAAAATGTCAAATAAGATAATATCTTTGTTTTCTGATTCATATGTGAACAATCGTGAAGAATTTGACACGTTGGTTCTGCCAGTCGCAAACGACAGAGCACAGGCGGCATGGATCCCAGTGGTGCTTGAAGGAAGTAACCAAATCAACGACGTCCTTGACTACCTCCCAAGGATCAATCTGATGTTTAACAACAAAAATGGTCTGGAAAGTTCTGACATCTGGAAGACTGAAATGGAGAAACTCAAGAAAGGTCTTGATAATTCAGGTATATATAACAGTTTTGTACATACATTCTTTTACATATATCTATCTTTTTTCAAGAAAGTCTGTGAAATAAAATTGTTGTGTTGTGCTTAGATGTTTTTCAGTTTGGTATTTTTGCTTCTGATTTCCAATAACTAAGGCTGTAAATACATATGGTATGCTCTGACATGACATGGTTCATGTATCTGATTGTTCTTCCTCCTTCAGCTGTTAGTGCGTGTAGTAGACAAGCTGTCCGTTAATGCTAATTGTGTGTCTAGTTAGTGCGTGTAGTAGACAAGCTGTCCGTTAATGCTAATTGTGTGTCCAGTTAGTGCGTGTAGTAGACAAGCTGTCCGTTAATGCTAATTGTGTGTCCAGTTAGTGCGTGTAGCAGACGAGCTGTCCGTTAATGCTAATTGTGTGTCCAGTTAGAGCGTGTAGTAGACAAGCTGTCCGTTAATGCTAATTGTGTGTCCAGTTAGTGCGTGTAGTAGACAAGCTGTCCGTTAATGCTAATTGTGTGTCCAGTTAGTGCGTGTAGTAGACAAGCTGTCCGTTAATGCTAATTGTGTGTCCAGTTAGTGCGTGTAGTAGACAAGCTGTCCGTTAATGCTAATTGTGTGTCCAGTTAGTGCGTGTAGTAGACAAGCTGTCCGTTAATGCTAATTGTGTGTCCAGTTAGTGCGTGTAGTAGACAAGCTGTCCGTTAATGCTAATTGTGTGTCCAGTTAGTGCGTGTAGTAGACAAGCTGTCCGTTAATGCTAATTGTGTGTCCAGTTAGTGCGTGTAGTAGACAAGCTGTCCGTTAATGCTAATTGTGTGTCCAGTTAGTGCGTGTAGCAGACAAGCTGTCCGTTAATGCTAATTGTGTGTCCAGTTAGTGCGTGCAGCAGACAAGCTGTCCGTTAATGCTAATTGTGTGTCCAGTTAGAGCGTGTAGCAGACAAGCTGTCCGTTAATGCTAATTGTGTGTCCAGTTAGTGCGTGTAGTAGACAAGCTGTCCGTTAATGCTAATTGTGTGTCCAGTTAGTGCGTGTAGTAGACAAGCTGTCCGTTAATGCTAATTGTGTGTCCAGTTAGTGCGTGTAGTAGACAAGCTGTCCGTTAATGCTAATTGTGTGTCCAGTTAGTGCGTGTAGCAGACAAGCTGTCCGTTAATGCTAATTGTGTGTCCAGTTAGTGCGTGTAGTAGACAAGGTGTCCGTTAATGCTAATTGTGTGTCCAGTTAGTGCGTGTAGTAGACAAGCTGTCCGTTAATGCTAATTGTGTGTCCAGTTAGTGCGTGTAGTAGACAAGCTGTCCGTTAATGCTAATTGTGTGTCCAGTTAGTGCGTGTAGTAGACAAGCTGTCCGTTAATGCTAATTGTGTGTCTATGTTCTTCTGTTCCCTGGTTATTGCTGTGTTCCAAAATGCATGTTCAGTTCTAGGACTGATCATATCAACAAGGTGGCTGCCAGAAGGCCAACATGGATTTTGATATTTTAGTGTTTTTTGTCCTTATCAGTTGATTCAAAAACATTGAAATTTGTCCTTAATATGAAAATTTTTATACAGATTTGGAAAAGAAGATGACAATCAAGGATTTAGACTTTTGAATTTTGGGATGTGTTTAATATCACTCTAGTTGGACAATTGAGTTTTAATACTTGAATTTGTTTACCTCTGTATTTTAAGCACTTTTTAAGGGACTTTCTTGATATTTTAGAGATATGATCAAATGAGACCAAATTCATTTGATCAGTTTGATCATGATAAGATTTTCAAGATGGATGCTGTCCATCAATAACCACTGTTAACCCTTTAATTATTCTTGTTTTGGCTATTTGTTGATGAAATGGCTGGCAGGTGACCTGTAGGATTTTGACTTGAAGATATTATTATCGCTATTTCTTGAGAAAATCTGGACAGATATTTCTTAATCTTCATGTGAAGATCACTCTTGATCCCTAATAATGTCCTTTCAAATTTGGAACTGATCAGAAAAATACATATTGGGTAACTGATGGCAGTCTTAAATTTTGACAATGAAAGTTTTTGAGAAATGCTAGGTGAATCTTCCTCCAAATTCGTATGCTTGGTTCCTCATGGTCCTTATTAATGTCCTTTCAATTTTGAGAGTGATCAGAAAACAAAATTGGCAATTTCACAGGTAGGTTTTGTCTCTTGTATTGCATAAGCAATTTCAGGGCTGATGGACAGTCTCTTGGATTTTGTAATTGATTTTTCTTGATTTTTCTAAATTCATAGTATCTACCATAGTTGTGCATTGTACATTTTGAAACTGATCAGAAAAACAAAATGAATAACAAGCGACCATCTTGGATTTGACAGTTAAAGAATTACTGTGATGTTTCCTGGGAGATATTCTTAAATTTCATAGTTAATAGCATACACATGAATAAGATGAAAGAAGGGGAAAAAGGATAGAATCAACTGATAAAGAAAAATTAAAGATCGTTAAATGGTAGATGTTAAGATCCCTCTGATATTTCAAGTATAGATACCTGTTTTATCATTTTTAAAAATTTGACATTTTTAATTAGATGATGAACATTGTAAGGAGTAAACAGCTGTCACCTCTGGTGTCAATCAGGTAATTCCAAGGATATGTGTACATATACTACATATAAAAGGTCTTTGAAGATGATTTGATATGTCTTCTTCCTACTTCCTTCTCCTTACAACGCCCCCCCCCCCCCCATTCCCCCCCCCCCCCCCCCCACCCCCCCACCTCCCACCCCCCACCCCACACCCCCCTCCTTACCCTTTTGTAAGTAACAGCCATAGTAACTTGATTTTAATCTATTAATAACTTGTTTTATTTTAATTACAGATGGCTTGCCTTTAGAAACTGGAATCAGTAAGTGTTATTTCACTCTTAATTATCATTATGCCCCACTTTTTTAATTATCATTATCCTCCACTTTTTTAATTATCATTATCCCCCACTTTTTTAATTATCATTATCCCCCACTTTTTTAATTATCATTATCCTCCACTTTTTTAATTATCATTATCCCCCACTTTTTTAATCATCATTATCCTCCAGTTTTTAAATTATCATTATCCCCCACTTTTTTAATTATCATTATCCCCCACTTTTTTAATTATCATTATCCACCACTTTTTTAATTATCATTATCCCCCAATTATCATTATCCCCCACTTTTTTAATTATCATTATCCCCCACTTTTTTAATTATCATTATCGCCCACTTTTTTAATTATCATTATCCCCCACTTTTTTAATTATCATTATCCCCCACTTTTTTAATTATCATTATCCACCACTTTTGTAATTATCATTATCCACCACTTTTTTAATTATCATTATCCCCCACTTTTTTAATTATCATTATCGCCCACTTTTTTAATTATCATTATCCCCCACTTTTTTAATTATCATTATCCCCCACTTTTTTAATTATCATTATCCACCACTTTTGTAATTATCATTATCCACCACTTTTTTAATTATCATTATCCCCCACTTTTTTAATTATCATTATCCACCACTTTTTTAATTATCATTATCCCCCACTTTTTTAATTATCATTATCCACCACTTTTTTAATTATCATTATCCCCCACTTTTTTAATTATCATTATCCACCACTTTTTTAATTATCATATCCTCCACTTTTTTAATTATCATTATCCCTCACTTTTTTAACTATCATTATCCCCCACTTTTTTAATTATCATTATCCCCCACTTTTTTAATTATCATTATCGCCCACTTTTTAATTATCATTATCCCCCACTTTTTTAATTATCATTATCCCCCACTTTTTAATTATCATTATCCCCCACTTTTTTAATTATCATTATCCCCCACTTTTTTAATTATCCCTCCACTTTTTTAATTATCATTATCCCCCACTTTTTTAATTATCATTATCCCCCACTTTTAATTATCATTATCCCCCACTTTTTTAATTATCATATCCTCCACTTTTTTAACTATCATTATCCCCCACTTTTTTAATTATCATTATCCCCCACTTTTTTAATTATCATTATCCCCCACTTTTTTAATTATCATATCCTCCACTTTTTTAACTATCATTATCCCCCACTTTTTTAATTATCATTATCCCCCACTTTTTTAATTATCATTATCCCTCACTTTTTAGAGAAAAACAGGAATATGTGTACTCTGTATCTTTTCTTCTCTGGTTTCCAAATTCTGTAACAGCCCTTAAAAGCAACAGATACCAATCAAATTCAGTACATGTACAAAATGACAATTCTTAAGAAGACACTTCATGGCCAATTTAATGATGTGCATATATGGACCAGTGAGCTTATGTTATGTTGCAGTGTTCATCTGCTGTCTATTGAGTGTATTTGACATTTTTCTAAAAATCACTACCAGTCATAGATAACATTTCATCCTTTTTTGTCTCAGGCACACAGGCACTCACACACACACATGCACACACACACACACACACACACACACGCACGCACGCACGCACGCACGCGCGCGCGCACACGCACACGCACGCACGCACGCACGCACACACACACACACACACACACACACACACACACACACACACCCACACACACACACACACACACACACATATGAGGGTAGCAGGGTGGGGCCATGTTAGGGAAATTTAAAGACAGTTTTAGAATCCTTCTTTTTCTGTTGGATGAAGATATTTTGACCAGATTTGGTCAGATGCATCTTTGGGTGAAGCAGACTGAATTAGATGAATTGGATCTAGTCACCCAAGGGTAGTGCCAAACAGATGAATATAACATACACCATTCTCCTTCCATAGGAATGACAGGATTTTGTTCAGAGAGGGCATGGGGGCATGGGGTGGGGGGGCATAACTTAAGAAAGTTTATTGTTATCTTCTGTCTGTTGACCGTACTTTTTAATAAAGGGGAATCAATTTTGTATATATGGCTGGTCTAAGCAGCAAAGGCATATGAAATAGAAGACAAAATAATGGTAAATCCTTAAAATCCTCCTTCCTCTTCGGGAATGAAAGGAATTTGACAAAATTTGGTCTGAAGCATAATTGGGTCAAGGGGATTCGACTTGTATAAATCGAGGGTGAAATCCCCTAGGGGCAGAGATCATGGGTCAAATAGGGGAAATAGGCTGATTACCTTGAATAAAGATAGATGCTACAGGCCCTTTGGGCCTCATGTTTAGGGTGGGTGCTTTCAACTTCAATCAGTGTATGGATCAGTTTTGACAAAATTCGCAAATGTTATAAGACAACGACTGAAATATGATAATACCACAGAAAGGAAATCTTGTGTGTGTCTGAAGGTTGTAAACTTTAAATAGTTTTCAATAACTATGTTCAGGTTTTGTGAAGTACATCAGAGTGAAATGTATTAGCAGATTGGGAGTGTGCTGTTTTGCAGATATGTACAGCTGTAGAAAGTAAAGGTTACAGTATTAAAACATTATTTTGAAATCAAGATGTAAAGCAAAAGTCTTGGTCACATGAAAGCTTGTAATGCAGTGCAACAGTCTGGCAAATATTCATGTACTACTTACAACATGAGAAATACTGACTGTTATCAGTGTAGATCATGGAATTTATTGTTGACATTTGATTTTCAGAGAGACGAGATGGGCCTCCTGGTTTAATCTCTTATGAAAAAATGAAGACTGTGGTGCACTCTGTTGGCAAATTAACAGTGAAAGTATCAGAATTACATCAACCATGTTTTGGAACAGCATTTTGCATTGGGAAAGATGATGATAAAGACCATCGATATGTCTTTACAGCTTATCATACCATAGCTGTTCTAATTGGTAAGTAACAGTGAAAATAAAATCATAGACAGCTGCAGTGATCACTGCAGACTGGTCAAGTTGTCACTGCAAGCTGGTCGGGTTATTACCACAGACTGGTCAAGTTATCACCACAGACTGGTCAAGTTATTATCACGGACTGCTTAAGTTATCAATGCAGACACCTCAAATTATTATTACAGACACCACAAGTTGTTACTACAATTTGCTCAAGTCATCACTACAGCCTTTTCAAGTCAATCATCACAGAGAAGACAAGTTATCACTTCAGACATGTTAATTTATTACTCTGATTTGCTCAAGCTATCACTGCTTACTAAACAAGTTATTACTGCAGACTGCTAAAGCTAGCACTGCAGACTGCTAAAGCTAGCACTGCAGACTGCTAAAGCTAGCACTGCAGACTGCTAAAGCTAGCACTGCAGACTGCTGACATTATCTCTAACCATTGCTCAAGTTATCACTGCTGGCTGGTCAAATTACACAACAGACTGTACAAGTTGTCACTACTGGCTGTTCAAATTACACAACAGACTGCACAAGTTATCACTGCTGACTGGTCAAATTACACAACAGACTGCACAAGTTATCACTGCTGGCTGGTCAAATTACACAACAGACTGCTGGCTGTCAAATTACACACAGACTGCACAAGTTATCACTGGCTGGCTGGTCAAATTACACAACAGACTGCACAAGTTATCACTGCTGGCTGGTCAAATTACACAACAGACTGCACAAGTTATCACTGCTGGCTGGTCAAATTACACAACAGACTGCACAAGTTATCACTGCTGGCTGGTCAAATTACACAACAGACTGCACAAGTTATCACTGCTGGCTGGTCAAATTACACAACAGACTGCACAAGTTATCACTGCTGGCTGGTCAAATTACACAACAGACACAAGTTATCACTGCTGGCTGGTCAAATTACACAACAGACTGCACAAGTTCAAATTCACTGCTGGCTGGTCAAATTACACAACAGACTGCACAAGTTATCACTGCTGGCTGGTCAAATTACACAACAGACTGCACAAGTTATCACTGCTGGCTGGTCAAATTACACAACAGACTGTACAAGTTGTCACTGCTGGCTGGTCAAATTACACAACAGACTGCACAAGTTATCACTGTTGGCTGGTTAAATTACACAACAGACTGCACAAGTTATCACTGCTGGTTGGTCAAATTAAACAACAGACTGCACAAGTTATCACTACTGGCTGGTCAAATTACACAACAGCCTGCACAAGTTATCACTACTGGCTGGTCAAATTACACAACAGACTGTACAAGTTATCACGGCTGGCTGGTCAAATTACACAACAGACTGCACAAGTTATCACTGCTGGCTGGTCAAATTACACAACAGACTGCACAAGTTATCACTGCTGGCTGGTCAAATTACACAACAGACTGCACAAGTTATCACTGCTGGCTGGTCAAATTACACAACAGACTGTACAAGTTATCACTGCTGGCTGGTCAAATTACACAACAGACTACAAGTTGTCACTACTGGCTGGTCAAATTACACAACAGACTGCACAAGTTATCACTGCTGGCTGGTCAAATTACACAACAGACTGCACAAGTTATCACTGCTGGCTGGTCAAATTACACAACAGACTGCACAAGTTGTCACTGCTGGAGGGTCAAATTACACAACAGACTGCACAAGTTATCACTACTGGCTGGTCAAATGACACAACAGACTGCACAAGTTATCACTGGCTGGCTGGTCAAATTACACACTGCACAAGTTATCACTGCTGGCTGGTCAAATTACACAACAGACTGCACAAGTTATCACTGCTGGCTGGTCACAAGTTATCATTACACAACAGACTGCACAAGTTGGTCAAATTACACAACAGACTCACAAGTTATCACTGCTGGCTGGTCAAATTACACAACAGACTGCACAAGTTATCACTGCTGGCTGGTCAAATTACACAACAGACTGCACAAGTTATCACTGCTGGCTGGTCAAATTACACAACAGACTGTACAAGTTGTCACTACTGGCTGGTCAAATTACACAACAGACTGCACAAGTTATCACTGCTGGCTGGTCAAATTACACAACAGACTGCACAAGTTATCACTGCTGGCTGGTCAAATTACACAACAGAGTACACAAGTAGTCACTACTGGCTGGTCAAATTAAACAACAGACTGCACAAGTTATCACTGCTGGCTGGTCAAATTACACTGGCTGGTCAAATTACACAACAGACTGTACAAGTTATCACGGCTGGCTGGTCAAATTACACAACAGACTGTACAAGTTATCACTGCTGGCTGGTCAAATTACACAACAGACTGCACAAGTTATCACCACCGGCAGGTCATGTTATTAGACAGACTGCTCAATTACGAGGGCCGATTGGTAAGTTGTGAGCCACATATTTAAGGTTTTGATCTTTGGTGGACATATTGCATTATTTTTCAACATAATCTCCTTCAGTATCTTTTGCCTGTAATGTTTAAGGACCTCAATGACACAATAAAGAAGTCCTATTCTCGACCGTTCAGAAAGTCCTCCACTGTATGTATGATGTCATCATCTGACCGGAAGTGGGTTCTGGAAATGGACTTTTTCAATATATGAAAGTCTGCAGGAGCAAAATCAGACAAATAAGCAGTTGCTGAATCAATTCAAAACCACAATCATTAATGGCAGCCATGGCAATGACAGGCTTGTGAACAGGGGCATTGTCCTCATGGAACAACACACTTTTAATGAGTTTTCTGCAGCATTTAAGTTTGATATTTTTCTCTTTGCTGCCTAAGAAGTGATGCATGATCTGTGCCACTGATTGTTTGTCTCTGATAATCTACAATACCATCAGCATCCCAGAAAACTGGGCATAACCTTTCCAGCTAATGGAAGTCATGAATTTATTATAGTCATGCAACACAATGGATGTGGTTCATTTGGTACATGCATACTCAAAGTAGATAAGGTCTTTCGGACAGGTGTTGGTATTAAGGAAAGTGCCTGGTGGCATATTGCTCGATATTGCACAAGTGTCAATATGGGTAATAAATAAGATTATAGTGTAACATGGTCATGCGACACTTGACGGTCAACCTGTTCAGGCATATACTTTATTTTTCTTATGATTTTTTATGTTAATTTTTTTCTGTAGATAGCCAAATCTTCACAACTATTATGGAGCTCCGGAAGTTGGAGGAATAAATGACGTCAGAAGTTTTCATGAATTGCTCAGTATGATTGAATTTTGTTGTAAGATTGCCTGAATAAAGGTAGATAACCATCACAGGCCACATCCATATATAAGTGTTTTTATACAATAAATGATTTTATTCATGTTCATTTGAACGTAGTAAATTAATTTCCCATAGTATACCAGAATTCTTCCATTGTTTAGACTGTTGTTTGACCTCTGAGGTGAAATGATGGATCCGTGTTTCATCCATAGTCACAAACCTCTGCAGGAAGTTAGCAGGATCTGCCTCTAAAAGGTTCAGATTAGCAGGATCTGCCTCTAAAAGGTTCAGATTAGCAGGATCTGCCACTAAAAGGTTCAGATTAGCAGGATCTGCCTCTAAAAGGTTCAGATTAGCAGGATCTGCCTCTAAAAGGTTCAGATTAGCAGGATCTGCCTCTAAAAGGTTCAGATTAGCAGGATCTGCCTCTAAAAGGTTCAGATTAGCGGACGACAAATTCTGCCTGGTGTGCTTCTCATTAACTGTCAGAAATCTTGGTGCTGAGAGCTTTCTCATTGCAAGATCTTCAGTAAGAACAAAATGGGCAATTTCCTGTGAAATTCCAAATGTGATGGCTATATATCTCACTGTAACTCGCCTGTTAGCCATAACAATATCATGGACTTTGTTGACCATTTCTGGGGTCGCAACAGTGACAGGCCTTCCGGGATGGGTGTCATCCCAAAGGCTCAGCCTGCCATGCTTGAATTCCGCCACCCACCTTTTCACTGTAGCATAAGAAGGACCATCATTCCCTAGTGTTGCTACCATAACAGTATGGATATCCTAAACGCTAGTCCTTTCTTATGCAAATATTTGAATCAGCAATTTTGTCCATTTTGCAAAAGTCACATGCCTTGTTTACTTTAGAGTGCTACCTCTACAATGTACGCTGACCACATGACACCAGTCTTTGGGTACACAGCCTTAAGTAGTCAGGGAAAAGTACAGCTGAAAAAGGTCATCCTTACTTAACCTGTTCAATACAAGCCTCAAAACTTATCAATCAGCCTTGTATTGCATAAGAGTTAATCACGCCATCAGTTGTACAAACTGCTGAAGTTATCACTACAATCTTGTTTGAGTGGTTCAGAAAATGGGAGACAATTACATTTAGAAGACTGCTAACAGCATTTGTTGATTGACGAGCAGAATTTGGAGAATGTACCATAATATAGCACATCATGGATTAAATGTCATTTTCAAACAGTTTAAAAATGTTAGATACTAGAATTTACTTCTTTAAAAGGCAAGCACTTTTGATAAGCTACTTCAAAGAATTTTTTGTCTTTCTACCTTTTGCAGATTCCATCATTCGAAGTGAAACAGAAAATGGCAAAAAAGAAGACCTGCTAAAAAAGATTTGTTTTTCTAAAGAGGAGATTATATGTAATAAGGATTGTGTCTTCAAACAAACAAAACCTGGCAAATTATTATTTAGTGGTAAGTTATGATGATTTTATTTATTTGAAATATCACTCTTACAATGCTTGATAAAATCACCTTCATATCAAAGACTTGGAAGAGGGTCCTAGGCTATATATGTTATCTAGTAATTAAATGTACTGTCATTTACCCACTGATTATTAATGATCAAAGTATGTACAAAGTTCTACTATCCTCAGGATACACCCTTTCCTTAACAAAGTTGGGTATTTACACAGAAAGGCAAAGATAGAAGGGTGGGTATTTACAATAAAAGGCAAGGACAGGTGGGTGGGTATTTACACAGAAAGGCAAAGACAAAGGGTGGGTATTTACACAAAAAGGCAAGGCCAGGCGGGTGGGTATTTACACAGAAAGGCAAGGACAGGAAGGTGGGTATTTACACAGAAAGACAAGGACAGGTGGGTGGGTATTTACTTAGAAAGGCAAGGACAGGTGGGTGGGTATTTACTTAGAAAGGCAAGGACAGGTGGGTGGGTATTTACTTAGAAAATCAAGGACAGGTGGGTGGGTATTTACACAGAAAGGCAAAGACAGAGTGTGGGTATTTACACAGAAAGGCAAGGACAGTAGGGTGGGTATTTACACAGAAAGGCAAGGACAGGAGGGTGGGTATTTACAATAAAAGGCAAGGACAGGAGGGTGAGTATTTACAATGAAAAGCAAAGACAGGAGGATGGATATTTACAATAAAAGGCAAGGACAGGAGGGTGGGTATTTACAATAAAAGGCAAGGACAGGAGGGTGGGTATTTACACAGAATGGCAAAGACAGGAGGCTAGCTATTTACAATTAAAGGCAAGGACAGGAGGGTGGGTATTTACACAGAAAGACAAAAACAGGAGAGTGGGTATTTACACAGAAAGGCAAAGACGGAGGGTGGGTATTTACACAGAATGGCAAGGACAGCAGTGTGGGTATTTACAATAAAAGGCAAAGACAGGAGGGTGGGTATTTACACAGAAAGACAAGGACAGGAGAGTGAGTATTTACAAGAAAAGGCAAGGACAGGAGGGTGGGTATTTACAATAAAAGGCAAGGACAGGAGGGTGGGTATTTACACAGAATGTCAAAGACAGGAGGCCTGGTATTTACAATAAAATACAAGGACAGGAGGGTGGGTATATACACAGAAAGGCAAAGACAGGAGGGTGGGTATTTACACAGAAAGGCAAATACAGGAGGGTTGGTATTTACACAGAAAGAAAAGGACAGGAGAGTGAGTATTTACAATAAAAGGCAAGGACAGGAGGGTGGGTATTTACAATAAAAGGCAAGGACAGGAGGGTGAGTATTTACACAGAATGGCAAAGACAGGAGGCTGGGTATTTACACAGAAAGACAAGGACAGGAGGATGGGTATTAACACAGAAAGACAAGGACAGAAGGGTGGGTATTTACACTGAATGGCAAGGACAATGGGGTGGGTATTTAAACAGAAATACAAGGACAGGAGGGTGAGTATTTACAATCAAAAGGCAAGAACAGCAGGATGTGTATTTACATAGAAAGGCAAGGACAGGAGGGTGGGTATTTACACAGAAATACAAGGACAGGATGGTGGGTATTTACAATGAAAGGCAAGGCCAAGTGGGTGGGTATTTACACAGAAAGGCAAGGACAGGACGGTGGGTATTTACACAGAAAGGCAAGGACAGGTGGGTGGGTATTTACTTAGAAAGGCAAGGACAGGGGGGTGGGTATATACAATAACAGGCAAGGACAGGTGGGTGGGTATTTACAAAGAAAGGCAAGGCAGGAGGGTGGGTATTTACAGAGAAAAATAAGGACAGGAAGGTGTGTATTTACACAGAAAGGCAAGGCAGGAGGGTGGGTATTTACACAGAAAAATAAGGACAGGAAGGTGGGTATTTACACAGAAATACAACGACAGGAGGGTGAGTATTTACAATAAAAGGCAAGGCCAGGTGGGTGGGTATTTACACAGAAAGGCAAGGACAGGAGGATGGGTATTTACACAGAAAGACAAGGACAGGTGGGTGGGTATTTACTTAGAAAGGCAAGGACAGGTGGGTGGGTATTTACAATAACAGGCAAGGACAGGAGGCTGGGTATTTACACCGAAAGGCTAGGCAGGAGGGTGGGTATTTACACAGAAAAATAAGGACAGGAAGGTGGGTATTTACACAGAAAGACAAGGACAGGTGAGTGGGTATTTACTTAGAAAGGCAAGGACAGGTGTGTGGGTATTTACAATAACAGCCAAGGACAGGAGGGTGAGTATTTACACTGAATGGCAAGGACAATGGGGTGGGTATTTACACAGAAATACAAGGACAGGAGGATGGGTATTAACACAAAAAGACAAGGACGGAAGGGTGGGTATTTACACTGAATGGCAAGGACAATGGGGTGGGTATTTAAACAGAAATACAAGGACAGGAGGGTGAGTATTTACAATCAAAAGGCAAGAACAGCAGGATGTGTATTTACATAGAAAGGCAAGGACAGGAGGGTGGGTATTTACAATAAAAGGCAAAGACAGGAGGGTGGGTATTTACACAGAAAGACAAGGACAGGAGAGTGAGTACTTACAAGAAAAGGCAAGGACAGGAGGGTGGGTATTTACAATAAAAGGCAAGGACAGGAGGGTGGGTATTTACACAGAATGTCAAAGACAGAAGACAGGAGGCCTGGTATTTACAATAAAATACAAGGACAGGAGGGTGGGTATATACACAGAAAGCCAAAGACAGGAGGGTGGGTATTTACACAGAAAGGCAAAGACAGGAGGGTGGGTATTTACACAGAAAGAAAAGGACAGGAGAGTGAGTATTTACAATAAAAGGCAAGGACAGGAGGGTGGATATTTACAATAAAAGGCAAGGACAGGAGGGTGAGTATTTACACAGAATGGCAAGGACAATGGGGTGGGTATTTACACAGAAATACAAGGACAGGAGGATGGGTATTAACACAGAAAGACAAGGACAGAAGGGTGGGTATTTACACTGAATGGCAAGGACAATGGGGTGGGTATTTACACAGAAATACAAGGACAGGAGGGTGAGTATTTACAATCAAAAGGCAAGAACAGCAGGATGTGTATTTACACAGAAAGGCAAGGACAGGACGGTGGGTATTTACACAGAAAGACAAGGACAGGTGGGTGGGTATTTACTTAGAAAGGCAAGGACAGGTGGGTGGGTATTTTCAATAACAGGCAAGGACAGGTGGGTGGGTATTTACAAAGAAAGGCAAGGCAGGAGGGTGGGTATTTACACAGAAAAATAAGAACAGGAAGGTGGGTATTTACACAGAAAGGCAAGGCAGGAGGGTGGGTATTTACACAGAAAAATAAGGACAGGAAGGTGGGTATTTGCAATGAAGAGCAAAGACAGGAGGATGGATATTTACAATAAAAGGCAAGACAGGAGGATGGATATTTACAATAAAAGGCAAGGACAGGAGGGTGGGTATTTACACAGAAAGGCAAAGACAGGAGAGTGGGTATTTACAATGAAAAGCAAAGACAGGAGGATGGATATTTACGATGAAAGGCAAGGCCAGGTGGGTGGGTATTTACACAGAAAGGCAAGGACAGGAGGATGGGTATTTACACAGAAAGACAAGGACAGGTGGGTGGGTATTTACTTAGAAAGGCAAGGACTGGTGGGTGGGTATTTACTTAGAAAGGCAAGGACAGGGGGGTGGGTATTTACAAAGAAAGGCAAGGACAGGTGGGTGGGTATTTTCAATAACAGGCAAGGACAGGTGGATGGGTATTTACAAAGAAAGGCAAGGCAGGAGGGTGGGTATTTACACAGAAAAATAAGAACAGGAAGGTGGGTATTTACACAGAAAGGCAAGGCAGGAGGCTGGGTATTTACACAGAAAAATAAGGACAGGAAGGTGGGTATTTGCAATGAAGAGCAAAGACAGGAGGATGGATATTTACAATAAAAGGCAAGACAGGAGGATGGATATTTACAATAAAAGGCAAGGACAGGAGGGTGGGTATTTACACAGAAAGGCAAAGACAGGAGAGTGGGTATTTACAATGAAAAGCAAAGACAGGAGGATGGATATTTACAATGAAAGGCAAGGCCAGGTGGGTGGGTATTTACAAAGAAAGGCAAGGCAGGAGGGTGGGTATTTACAGAGAAAAATAAGGACAGGAAGGTGTGTATTTACACAGAAAGGCAAGGCAGGAGGGTGGGTATTTACACAGAAAAATAAGGACAGGAAGGTGGGTATTTACACAGAAATACAACGACAGGAGGGTGAGTATTTACAATAAAAGGCAAGCCCAGGTGGGTGGGTATTTACACAGAAAGGCAAGGACAGGAGGATGGGTATTTACACAGAAAGACAAGGACAGGTGGGTGGGTATTTACTTAGAAAGGCAAGGACAGGTGGGTGGGTATTTACAATAACAGGCACGGACAGGAGGCTGGGTATTTACACCGAAAGGCTAGGCAGGAGGGTGGGTATTTACACAGAAAAATAAGGACAGGAAGGTGGGTATTTACACAGAAAGACAAGGACAGGTGAGTGGGTATTTACTTAGAAAGGCAAGGACAGGTGTGTGGGTATTTACAATAACAGCCAAGGACAGGAGGCTGGGTATTTACACAGAATGGCAAAGACAGGAGGCTGGGTATTTACACAGAAAGACAAGGACAGGAGGGTGGGTATTAACACAGAAAGACAAGGACAGAAGGATGGGTATTTACACAGAAAAATAAGGACAGGAAGGTGGTATCTGCAATGAAAGGCAAAGACAGCAGGGTGGATAAAAAGTTAAGGAATTGATGGAAGGTTATAGGTCAGGATTGGACACATTGTTCAGTTTGCTGAAATTGATTAATTTAATCCAAAGGAAAAGTATTTGAAACACTTCCAACAGAAGAAGGATATTATAGAATTTGCTCCTTTTCCACTGATGGGCCAAAACCCATTATTCATACAAAATTGATCCCCTTCTCCCAATCATGTTTTGGACCAAAGTGGGACAGAATCCAGGCATTCCTACATAAGAAGAATGATTTAAAAGAATTTGCCTTATTTTCCCTATTGGGCCTGCCCCTCCTGCCCCAAGGGGCAGATAACCACCATTTATACAAAACTGATTCCTCTTCACCAAAAGATGCTTCAGAACTAATTTGCATTAAATCCAAGGATTTATATGGAATAAGAACGATTTTAAAGAATTTGCTCTATTTACCCCATTGGGTCCCGCCCAAGGGGGCTGACACTCACTCTTCATACAAAACTAATTTCCCATGCTTCAGTCCCAATTTGGACAATATTCTGCAATTCCTGAAGAACAAGATAGATTTTAAGTGAATTAATAGATTTTCCCTAATAGGCCAAACCCCTTCCACCCTTGGAGGCCAAGAATTGCTGTTTATGCAAAACTGATTTCCATTTCATACTGATGTACCACTAGTGGCTTTACTTCTATCCGTTATATACAGTGTTTGTTAGTGCCCTCTGCACTTTGATTATTATGTTCCAGTATATGATCGTGTTTTTATCAAGGATTAAATCTGGATCCTGATTATGATTATGCTATGCAATATAATAAGACAGAAATTACATTTAATTGTTAAATCTTTATTTTGCAGAGATTGTAGGAAATATAGAAGAGTTGGAAAAAAAATGGAATGTGAAGATTGACTTTTTAAATGAGAAAAGAGAGACATTATGTGTTCAAGTGGACATTCCATTTCTGAGTCAGGAACATGATGTGATCTTATTGAAACTGAAACCTAAATCATCAACAGCTTCTTTTATCCCAAAGCCTTTAAAACTTAACCTTGATAGCATAAACAAGTTCTGGCATCTAACTGGATTTCAAGTAAAAGATAAATTCAAGGCAGTTCATACAGCCGCATGGTGTCCAGTTTTTGAGGCACAATCTTTTAAGCTCTCTGAATGCTGGTGGACACGCAGAAAATATGATAGCAGCGAACATGAGGAAACACATGAGGATTTCCTTCAGCTGGACCGATTAGGTTACATACCTTTCAAGTGCACGACAGATTTTCAGCATGGTGCTTCTGGTTCACCATGTTGGTGTGAAATCAATGACGAGGTTCATGTACAGGGGATGTATCTTGGCTGCTTGCCCGAAGCGTATTTCACTCAAGATGACAAAGATCTACCAGCAGATTTGGCATTTCGTCATCGACCAGAAAAAGCATTACCCATGAAAAAAATCCATAAAATACTTGAAAATTCAGAAATGCAAAACTTGATCTTGGATTTGTATAAATAAAGAATTGTCAGATTTGTGGTATACAGTATCAACTGAGCGTTTTTTGAAATGACGATAACCTTACGATACAGATGGTGACTCGCAGCAATATTTTGATCTCTTGATTGTGTCTTAGTGCTTGGACAGGAGAAAATGTGTGTAGAGAGAGATTATTTACTCATTGTTTGTCATCTTGGGTCAAACCAGAAAGAATTGTTACTGACATATTGATTGAACTACCTCTAAAGCTGGAGAGTTCTGTCACAAAGGAGTGGTAAGGGCCCGATCATTATGAAGCTGAAAAAGGAACTTCAAATGGGAATCCATTAGTAAAAGGATGATTTGGCAAAACCTGCCAAATGGATGATCAATACAGAAAATGAACCAAAGGATGGGGTTAATTGAAATAGAGAGAAAGTGATTCAGAAGATCTTATAAACGAACTTGAAAGCCAACTTATTGACCTCAAGCAGAAAAGTCAAAAGAATTCCATTGGGATGTTCAGTCTCCATGACTCGCTTCACAAAGAATCAGTTGAGACTTGTGTGAAGAAAGTGATTTACGAACAATCAGAGCTAAATCTGCCTCTTTGTATTTTGTATAGAGGATATTGAGATCAACCGCAGGCTAGGTAGATTCAATGATTCTAGTTTTCCAATTATAATTGTGAAATTCATCCACCAATTGGAGAAATATGAAATCATCAAGGCTCAGAGGATTCTGAAAGGTTCCAAAGAGGCTTGAGAGTTTTGGGGAATTTAAAGCTTGGCTGTCAGAGATTTCGTCTGGACAATGTCTGAAAAAATGGAAAACTTGTTTTTGTATTGAGGAAAGGGAAATGACAATTTTTTCACAACACAAAACTCAAAAAACAGTCTCTTAAGACTAACATCTGTTATCTATGTTACAACACAGCTTGTACAGTTGTTTGTGCTTATTGATAATACATATCTACAATGAAATATGAAACATTGGTACATGGCAGAACTTTATCAGGATAGGGACCAACTTCCTGTAAGATCACTGGGATCAATTCTATTTCTGATTTTCCATTTGTGTAATGTTACTTGGCCAACTGCAAACTGATGTATGTTGGATGATTTAAATTAGGACAAAGCAGCTGACAAATCGTACAGGGACAAAGCAGCTGACAAATCGTACAAGGACAAAGCAGCTGATGAATCGTACAAGGACAAGGCAGCTGACTAATTGTACAGGGACAAAGCAGCTGACTAATTGTACAGGGACAAAGCAGTTGATGAATTGTACAGGGACAAAGCAGCTGATGAATTGTACAGGGACAAAGCAGCTGATGAATTGTACAGGGACAAACAGCTGATGAATTGTACAGGGACAAAGCAGCTGATGAATCATACAGGGACAAAGCAGCTGATGAATTGTACAGGGACAAACAGCTGATGAATTGTACAGGGACAAAGCAGCTGATGAATCATACAGGGACAAACAGCTGATGAATTGTACAGGGACAAAGCAGCTGATGAATCATACAGGGACAAAGCAGCTGACAAATCGTACAAGGACAAATCTGCTGACTAATTGTACAGGGACAAAGCAGCTGATGAATTGTACAGGGACAAAGCAGCTGATGAATCATACAGGGACAAAGCAGCTGATGAATTGTACAGGGAAAAGGAGCTGACGAATCATACAATACAAAGCAGCTGATGAACTGTACAGGGACAAAGAGCTGATGAATTGTACAGGGACAAACAGCTGATGAATCGTACAAGGACAAAGCAGCTGAAGAATTGTACTGGGACAAAGCAGCTGACGAATCGTACAAGGAGAAAGGAGCTAATGAATCGTACAAGGACAAAGCAGCTGATGAATTGTACAAGGACAAAGCAGCTGATGAACTGTACAAGGACAAAGCAGCTGATGAATCGTACAAGGACAAAGCAGCTGTTGAATTGTACAAAGACAAAGCAGCTGATGAATTGTACAGGGAGAAAGCAATTGATGAATTGTACAATTACAAAGCAGTTGATGAATTGTACAAGGACAAAGCAGCTGATGAATCGTACAAAGACAAAGCAGTTGATGAATTGTGCAAAGACAAAGCAGCTGATGAATTGTACAAAGACAAAGCAGCTGATGAATTGTACAGGGAGAAAGCAGCTGATGAATTGTACAAGGACAAAATAGCTGATGAATCGTACAAAGACAAAGCAGCTGATGAATTGTACAGGGACAAAGCAGCTGTATGTTGCAGCTTAATGTCTTATGATATACTACATCTTATTATATATTAGTATTGTAATTTGATAATCACATTCAATTGTTGTGTACAATTTTTTTAGATAGAGTGAACACTGTGGAGGGACTCAAGTCCATGATGATTTTTCTATCCCACACAACATGTTTTAATTCATTTGAATAGTGGTTTGTTTCAGAATTTGCACATGTGCTTGACATTGTTTGAAAACTCATTGAATTATTTGGCTAGTGCACCTAACCATCTAGATTCTGGTATTTCTCTAGATCAATCTTGATTTTTCTCTAATCACCTTCTAGATTTTAAAATTTAGGCCCTTAGCACCACTGACAAGTCCAGGACTGACAGCTGTATTATATTACCAGGTATTATTATATTTTAAGAATATGTAATTCTGAATTGATGTTTAGAGGTACAATTCACTTATGTACAATACGAGAGAAATCTATATACAAGGGAAATATTTACGAGATTAAACTTGAAGACCTATAATTGACTTCTGGCAAATACATCTTCGTAGATCCTGGTAATATAATGTTCTTCAAATTTTTTTAGATCATTCCTCAATCACCTCTGAAGTTTCACCAATTTAGACCCTTAATCTTCAAAAGATGAAACAGCTGTATGATACAGTTTAATTTGATATTTGGATACACTGTATCTAATTGACTTTATTGAAAAGTGCTATTTATTTGAGTGTATTGAATACAATGGTTACAGAGTTAGACCCGCTGGTCGACTCTTTATGTCCTTTTCATCACTAATGAGTCCTAAGTATCAACTTTACTGACACTGAGTTTGCCTTTACTTAAAAAGACGCATCATGCCATCAAGTTCACTCAAGCTTAACTGTTTGGCACTTGTTTACTTTAAACTGATTTTTCAGCCAATATATAGAAAATGAATTTAAGCAAATTAATTAATGAGCTGTTGTGTAATATTTTTATAGAAGCAAATGTTGTTCAGTTAAATTTTCTTTTTCATATATGTCAGTCCAATACATCTAAAATATCAAATACAAACACAGTATTACTATCTACATGTTCGTGACATCATTTCTTTGCACAAATGTAGTAGTACGATGTCACAAAATGACATACAATTGTAGAACGTAAGCTAATATGCAGAGTTTTGTATATTTACTAAATATGTTTAAATATAAAATCATTTGAAATACTCTCTCCTTATATTAACTTATGTACAAGTGTTATACGATGGCCAACAGCAACCAGAAACAGTTACCAATAGTACAATTTCATTAACATAAGATTATTACATATGTATTGTGTCTCAAATATGTCTACTACATTAGTTCATCTATTTGTAAACACTACGTGTATGATGCATTGTCAACAAATAGTATTGGATTAGAAATAATTTTGAAACTTACAGTTATAAGTCTGTCTTATTGATTTATTGATTCTTATGAAGGGTTAGTTGAATGTATTGGGCCATATTTCTCTTGCTTTGTTCTCACTCTGCATAATTTAAAACATTTCAAGAAAATTCTGTGTCTGTTAATATTAGGCATGTCATACTAAAATGGGTACTCATTTGAAACCAATGACTACTCCTCAGCTAACTGCAATATAATTATTGATGAAGTAATTTTAAGCTTAAATTTAATTGAAACTACACAGTTTGCATTGAATTGCAATCTAGACAAACTATAGAAAATGTAAATATAGCTATTGAACACACTTAGTATGATATTTACAATATCGGTGAATTAGATGAAAGCAGAGTAGGCCACCATGTGTCATAGGTCTGATAAGGATGATTGGTAACACTTCAACAAAAATTTATTGTTTAATGTACTTGAGTCTGAAATATATTGTATCAAGTAGCGGTGAATATATTTGTAATTAGTGATAAAATATTTGCTTTAAAGCTGCACATTCCCAAGGTTTTAAGTGGTAATTCATCAAAATTACTTTAATGTTTGACAAGATGTTTATCTTTGACACAAGCAGCGATCCCAAAGAATATTTATACCATCCTGAACGACTCAGTGTATTTGTATAAATAGTATGTCCATTTACCATCTCAGGACTAAAGCTAGAAGACATGTATCAGTTCTACAAACCATTGATCTGCTCAACAAACCATTGATCCAACACAAATATGTTATCGTGATGCTTGCTTCTTATTTGTAAACAACTTGGGAATGGACTTTGTAAAAATTCTAATTTGATTGATTTTTCAGGTTTAGCTCTCTGTTGATAACAATCAATAATTCGTTAGACATTCATCGCCTAATCTATTCATGGAATCATTTGTTGAAAGGAAGCTTTTTAATTGGAGCATGTATGTGTTATCACATTTGAAATTCTAATGAATAGATCTATTTACACTTAAATGAGACAATACTTAAGTTATACAGCACTTCTGTACAGGATACTGTGAGGGACCTCTGTTTATTACCTTATTAACAACATACATGATTTACTTAGTACATAAAGTTAAAGGTTACCAGAGTATCGAAGGAAAATTCATACCGTCGATGACCTCATACCTTTTTACATCTCTTGATCAATTCAAATGTGTAGTTTGAAGTTGTAACAGGCATTATAGCCCTCATATGTTTACATTGCTTACTAACACAAATTATGGGATGCACAAACATTGTATACAACATTTACTTTTAACGTAAGTAGTTTTTCTGCTCATATAGCATTTAAATGTGTGTTTGAAACTCTGAGGATTTAATTGTTTTCCGTGACAGTGTTTTTATTATCTCATCTTGACCTGAACCATTGTGCTTGGTCTGTCGTCATGCGTCGTGCTTTCTTTTTCTTTAAAACCTTACTCCTCTTTCATACTTGGATAGATTTCAACCAAATTTGATCTGATGCATCATTGGGTAAGGGTTATCATTTCTAAAAATCATAACTCTTATTTGACCCCTCAGGGTTGAGGGACGGGGCTCCAAACTGGGAGGTGATGAAATTAGATTTAAAACCCTACTCTTCCTTTCTGTCTAAATGGATTTCAACAAACTTAAGCCTCATTCATCAGTTAGGGTTGGCAATTATTTTGGCAGGGCCAAAAATGGGAAAGTTAGTCAATATATTGCTTCAAAATGCTAATTTTTCTTAATACTTGAATGGATTTCAACAAAAAGTCTCAAACATTTTTGCAGATTGGGAATAATTTCTTCAATTCAGAGAGTTGTTTTGACACCTAGGGACTTTAGCGCGGGGCCCCAAATGGGGAAATTAGACAAATAGTTTGCTTCAAAACGCTACTCCTTTTTAATGCTTGAATGGATTTCAACCAAATTTGGTCTGAAACAACATTGAGATTGGGGAATCATTTCTTAAATTCAGAAAATTGATTAAACCCCTAGGTAATAGGAATGACCTTGATCTGCTTGGAAGGTCACAGGGATCAAATATGTTAAAATCTTTAACTGACTTCTTCTCAATAACCAAAAGGCCAAGGATGATGATATGACGCCTGTAGCATGCTAGGATGAAGGGCTACCAACTTTGTCAATGTGAATGACATTGACTCATTTTCAAGGTCCCACTTGAAATAGTAGACAAAATAAGCAAAAGTAAAAAAATAGTGTATTGCTTCACTTTAAAGTGAAGCTCCCTACCCCATTCTAAATTTCCCACTTCAGATGTAAGTTTTGTTATGTGTGTGTTTCTATGAATCAATCAGGGTTATTAGAAACAAAATTGGTGTAAAAGGCAGTAATTAAGAAAATAGGTGAAGTGGACTGCAGTTTTCTTCACCATTATGGTATTTTGACCCCGTTCATTTCACCATGCTTCACAATACCATGGTACACCAGAACCACTCACCTGCCTTTGCTAAAGGAAATTAATTTTAAATCTTATATCTGTTTTCCCGTTTGTTGCTCTGCCATCGCCACCAGGGAGTCCAGCCAAAATCCCCTTCTTCAAAGGGTCAGTTAGACCAAATTTGGACAAAAATCTTGATATCTCTTCAGCAGAGGAAGGACTTTCAAAGTATTTTCGTAATTTCCCCTATTGGGTCCTGCTTTTTCTGTCACAGGAGGTCTCAAGTTGATTCCCTTGCACACACGAATACTTCAGACCATATTTAAAAAGATGCAGAAGATGGATTTTAAAGCAATTTCTCTATTTTTTTCTATTTGGCCCACCCCAGGGGTGTAGGATGTGGGTGGATCATATCCACCGTTTATACAAAATTAAGTTCCCATTCACCCAAGGATGTTGCAAACAAAATTGGGACATGATCCACACATAACTTTCTGCAAAAAATAATGCATTTAAAAAAAATTGTTTTATTTCTTCTATGTGGTATTGACGCCAAGGGTTCAAATAGAATTGATTCTTCTTCACTCAAGTATGCTTCAGACCAAAGTGGGACAAAATCTATTCATCCCTACAAAAGAGGAATTTTAAATAATTTGCTGTATTTACCCTCTGGTGCCCCGCCCCTCTGGCCTCAATGAGGTCAGACCCATGTTTACACAGAATTCTGTCCCGTTCCTCCAAGGATGTTTCTAATGCTTCCGCTCAGCCGTTTATGCATAATAGCGATTACTAGGAAAAGTAGACGGAGACACAGGCGACGGACGCTGCGGTATGTGTTATTTCACAATACTTCCTAATATCCTGTAGAAATAGATTTATTACAATCTTTAGTTTATTCCTTTCGTCAGAGTCCTTTTCATCAAGCAGTAGCATAGCCGTTTTTCATATGTATTATTTTTGTCTACCATGTGATTGATGCCAGTCTGGATGCACCGTCTAATAACAATTACTAGCCAAGTTGTGGTCGCTAAGGCTAAGTAGGGATGCTGATCCACCGAGAAAGGTTATCAAACTTTGACGTTGTTCTACATCAGTCAAGGCAATGATGTTTTCATGTGTATCTACGTTGTTGTCACGCAGACAAATGTATATAGCCGCCATGCCACTCAACGACCCACTAAAACCGTAGTCCGGCCGTCCGATAACCAGACCTCCAATGCCACAATGTTTAGCCATCTCTACTATTAATGTGTTGCGTCGGTCGTCATGACTGCTCTCCATTAACCAAATTTTATCCCTCCAGTTGCCACGTAACAAAGCGACAAATAAGGAATCCACCACTGAAACAAGTAAATCCATTGATGAGGAAAATATGTCTATATGAAAAGAAATAAGATACACAAAAGGGAAAGAAAAAGAAAAACGATGTTTAATGCTACATTTCCAAAATTATCATAGTGTTTGCAAATATACTGATGCATATTCTTGGTCTGTGTGCTCTGTCTTTCTTTCTTTCTTTTATTTTTTTATCTTCGTAAGAATTATAATATAGATATAAAACTTGTCACATATGTGACATAATGACAAAATTTAGCATAGAATTTTCCTGAAACTAAATTAACAACTGTGGGGTTTGCAGAAATGCTAATTCCCCATAGAGGTAGGCCCAAACACTGATACGTTGCTTTGTACCGTCAAAGTTGTGCCCGGCTTTACACTCAATTTAAATTAATTGATGACACGCCTAATTAACTAATAACATAACTAAAGCTGTCAACACCGACTGCCACAAAACAGATAGAAAATAATCAAATATTTTCACGAAATAGGACAGTTCGAACCATATACTGTCAAAATAGGTGGTTTAATTCGTAAACCAACTTAAATCTATCATTTAGCATTCTTGTTAGAATATTGATTCACCAGTTACAAGAACATATAATGTTTGTGGATTTCAGGGAACTTGACGGCCATTTTTGAAAGTTGAAATTTTACTAAAATGGTGTATTAGTGCAGATGGCAGACCCTTTGAAACTAATTAAACCAAGTGTTAACATTTTAGAAAACTTATCTTCACCCTTTGCTAGTTTTTCCTTTAAAAAGTAGCAATATTGTCAACTAATTTTAATTACTTTGCACCAACTTTTTTGGGCAATTTATTTTTAACTGTTTATAGATGTTTTTTATCTCCTATTTCCAATGTATTCAAGATTGTGACTTCTTGTTTTGTATATATGATATCTAACATGTTATCATCAGCATGTTCATGTTTGGTTTCTTTACAAATATAGAAGTGATATTGTTGCATTTTCCCCAAAAAACATACATTTTTTATTTTTGGCACAAAAAGGGCGCTCTATTCTTGCGTATGTACATGAGTGGACTTAAATGCCTATTTGTAAATGTACAACTACAGAGGCTACCAATAGCTCATACAGACTGTTGTATTTGATTCTTAGGCCATTTTGAAACTCAACCTTTCTTTCCTTTTAGATTTACACTCGGAAATGCAACATGTGTTCCAATTCGTGATTTGCCATTTACTGTTAACTATTATATATAATACCGATCGCTGATTTATAAAGGCTAGTATTATTGTGTGTATACTAGCATCCCTGGTGATAACTATCGTTTTTCATACTTTTATATAGAAGGTTAGCATTACCTCTTAAAGAATTTGCATTTTTCTTGTTTGCTGTCAAGTACGTCAACAAAATAAATTTTGATATGTAATATTACAATAAATGTAATGGTGAGGTTCTAGAACCCTTAATCTTTGATGTTTACTCGTCGTAGTTGTTTCGATATTCAAGGGTATGCTCCTAAAATCACGGTATATAGACAACTGGCTGACGAAATCACAACACATGATTTCGAGAATGCACGTCGATGACGATTATGGGGGAAGTTTAAGGTCGCATTTTCCTGGTGTCATATGAATTGGTACGTGTTCGATACATGTTATTTACCTTTTTCTCTTTTAGGAACATGACATTACTTAACTGGACTGACCAACATTTACATGGCGGGTGTCAACGGTGGAACAGATGTCGCTTACACTTCTAGAACACTTAGCCTTGTACCTTGTACATATTCAGGAGAACCCGTTTTAATCTTTCTATTGTTCTTATTTGCGAATTTGAGTCCGAATGAAGATTCCGTGTATATTATTCGCTGTTTCTGCTTTGAACAGGAATCTGCAAATAGATATAACGCTAATCATTCGCACCAAATACCAAAAGGTTGTGACAAATGGAAGTTAACTTACCTTCCATGTCGGCGTAAATTGCTCCAGGTACGGCGTTAATGCCCACGTATGAGGTCATTCTGTAGGGAAAGCCCGTGCATTGTTGGAGCTTGTAGAAATAACTGAGGCATTTACTATCGGTTTGACATATTACACAACACTCCGTTTGACTTCTACTGTGTACAGACCATAGTTGATTTCCCGAAGGCAACA